TGCGTTTGTTCTTATAGATACCATTCTTCCCTTTCTTCACATCTTTCTTAAGTTCCAGACAGTCTGATTTGATATGGCCAGGTCTTCCACATTCATAGCAATGGTATTTATCCTTTCTTTGCTGTCTCTTTTTCCTGTTCTTCATAAAGCGAGAAAATTGTTTAACAAAAAGAGACATATCAAAATCTGAAAACTTACCTTCATTTTCGCTTTCGTCTTGTGAAGATTTTTCTACTTTTAGAGTTATCGTCTTGGCTTGATTCTGTTCACCATTCTTTAACCTTTGTAGCTCTATCTCATGTTCTCGCAGCTTTCCAAATAGAGTAGCAATATTCATTTCTGTGAGATCCTTTGATTCTGTAATAGTAGTGACCTTTGTTGCCAATTCTTGTCTAAGGATTTCAAGATCTTTGTGTTCAACTCCTCATTCTCAAAACTCTTTCTTAATGCTTTCAAGTGATTTACTATATGTGTGAAGCGTGTCTGGAAATCGTGATGCTTTCATTTTGCTGCATTTGAAATAATTCATACTCCTGGATGAGTGTGTTCTTACGTGCTCGCTTTACTTCATTTGTTCCTTCATGTGTTACTTCAAGAGTGTCCCATATTTCTTTTGTCGTCTTGCATTGTAAGACCCTGAAAAATTCATTACGAGTTAAGGCAGAAACAATAATATTTCGGGCTCTTACATCATAATGGTCACGCTTATTTTCATCTAGCGTCCATTGGTCAAAAGTCTTTGGAACAACTCCAGATTCCATTGTTCTCATCGGAATGTAGGGACCATTGAGTACAGCATCCCAAACACCATAATCTAGTGTTTGTAAAAATATTTCCATTCTTGCTTTCCAAAACTGATAGTCTTCTCCTTCAAATAATGGTGATCTGTTTATTGAGGCTCCTTCCTTGTAAATCTGATTCTGCATAGACATCTTGACAGATCGTTTAGAAATATCTTATCTAACCAAGCTCTGATACCACTTGTTAGACAAATGGCATCTAGAGGGGAGTGAATAGATGCACAAATTAAAATAGATGTCAAATTAAAAATTTATTTGTGAGTCAATAATTTGTTTGAACACAGATAAAGCAGAAGCGATAATATAATCACGAAAAAAGAAAGAGATAAGGGAAAGAGAAGAGCACACAGTGATTTATACTGGTTCGGGTATAGCCAACCCTACATCCAGTTCCCAGTCAACTCTTAACACAAGAGTGACTCCCTATCTTTCAAATTCAGTTTACAAATTACAATAAACTCAACAGAAGAACCAGTAAAAAATAAACTAATTAAAAAGACAATCACCTCCTTAGAAACCCACTAAGGATGAACACCTCCCTAGAATCCCACTAGGGATGAACACCTCCTCTGAAAAATCAAAGGATGAAAAACACCTCATTAGAATCCCACTAAGGATGAACACTTCCCTAGAATCAAACTAGGGATGAACACCTCCCTAAACAAATCAAAGGGATGAAAAACACCTCCTAAACTCACAAAGGATGAAGGAGTAAGATAAGAACAGTCACACCTGGGTAATGGAGACAAGAAATTGTAGAAGCCTGTAGAATGTCAATCTCCAAGAACAAGTGTGATTAACAATGAAAGCACAGAAGGTAGTAGAGAAGAGGGTTTTCTCAGAAGGTGTAAAATATCTTTGTTGCCTTGCTCAGAATTATTTTCTCAAAACTGATTGAATGTAAATTGTATTTTCGAATTTTGTAATTGTGTGTTTTTTATTTTTCATCAAAAATTAATTAAATAGAAAAATAGCATCAGAAAATGGCCGTTGGACATTAATATTTTCGTGAATAAAAATCAGGATATATTCAAAAACATTTATTCTTCAAAACAGATATATTTTTCAAATTTGAATTACCATAATTGATTATGTTACCAGTATAATTAATTATGATAGAGAAAATCATTTTTCCATTTCTGATGCATCATAATTGATTATGACAGTGAAAAATATCATGTTATGAATTTTATCACACTTGTGTTTTGGAGGCTTATGCATAATATTACTTCATCAACTTGTACCTCCATATCCAGTATTCTAAGACTCTATCTAGTCTTCAGGAATCATCTTGGGCTTGCTTGAATCATCATCTTTATCAAAAACATATCTTGGACATGTAGGGAAATGTTTCACATTGTCTCCAACATCTTAAACTCAGTTTGTCCTTATTTCATTTTGAATGGTGTTGACTTAAATGTAGTTGACTTGAATCATCATCAAAATAATCTCTTGGGAATGTAGGGACATTTCCATCAATCTCCCCCTCATTGCTTTCAGTTTAGTCACATTGTTCAAAGTTTTGGACTAAAACGAAGTTAAGCAGATCATTTTGTTTTTTATTATACTGCTTCAGGAAAATGTGTTTATTTAATTGTATATGTGGATGATATAGTCATTATAAGGGATGATGTTGATAAAATTTCTCTGCTAAAGAAACATTTATGCAATCACTTTTAAACTAAGGATCTTGGTTATCTCAAATACTTTCTAGGGATTGAAGTGACTCAATCAAAAGAAGGCATCGTAGTCTCCCAAAGAAGGTATGCTTTAGATATCCTGAAAGAAACATGCATGATTGATTGTAGACCAGTAGACAACCCTATGGATCCAAATCAGAAATTAATGGCGGATCAGGGTGAACCGCTCTCTGATCCTGAGAGATATAGAAGACTTGTTGGGAAACTCATTTATCTCACCATTACCAGATCTGACCTATCTTTTGTCGTTGGAGTTGTCAGTCAGTTTATGCAAAATCTGCGTACTGATCATTGAAATGCTGTCGTTCACATCCTAAAATATCTTAAAAAGGCTCCAACACAACGTCTGTTGTATGGACAGACGCTCCACTACAAGATATTGTGTTCTCATTGGAGTCAATATTATTTCTTGGAAAATCATGAAACAAAATGTAATGGCCCGGTCTAGTGTTAAAGCTGAATATAGAGCAATGACGTCTCTCACTTGTGAACTAGTGTAGGTGAAACAATTCCTTCAAAAACTAAAATTTTGTGAGATCCAACAGATGAAGATGTATTGTGACAATCAAGCAGCTCTCCACATTACCTCTAATCCGGTGTTCCATGAAAGGACCAAACATATAGAACTTGATTGTTAATTTATTCGTGAAAAATTGTTGTCTAAAGAAATTTGCACTGAATTTGTCGGGTCCAATGGTCATCTGGTAGATGTGTTGACAAAGTTTTTAAGAGGACCTCGAATTAAATTTATTTGTTCCAAGCTTGGCACATACAATTTGTATGCTCCAGCTTGACGGGGAGTGTTAGAATTATTATTAGGTAGTGGTTAGTGGTTAGTAGTTAGTAGTTGGCGGTTGGTGGTTGTTGTTTTAAATGTTGTAATCCTATATATGTATATATGAGATCATAGAGTGGAGTGAAGCATCCCACTGAATTATAAATCTTCTTTTAACTCTCTTTACTCTCTTAACTATTTCTTTAATATTATTTCGTCTCCTCCAAGTCCCATATTGCTTTGGGAAAGACATTTTCCCATTTTTATATATCAAGGAATTTTCATAGTGTGCAATAAATGGAGTGCATGAAGGGTGACCTTGGTTGACCATGTCTTATGTACTGGATCATAGTCTTGTGTGTTGGATCAAACATCTTCTACAAAAAAAGACAACAAAATATTTTTCGAATTTATACAAAGTAAAATATAGAAGAGGCCGAATGTGTTGTGGCCTAGATGATCCTTTATCACCTATTTTAATATATAATTTAAAAGAGAAAAAATTATATATAATAAGTATAGAAAGAACATGTAATAAAAATAAATTTTAAAAGATGATACCATAGATTAACTAATTCTCTATTATATAATTAGTTTTTTTATGGAAAAGAAAAAAAAAGTATGCATAATACAAAAATAAATATCATGAAAAAAGTAAAATAAAATAAAAATTTGAAAAATATATTTTAAAAATTTAATTATATAAAAATATGAGTATCTATATTTCTAATAATAATAATAATAATGTTATTTTAAATAATATTATTTTTTATTATATATTAAAATATGATTATCAATTGTTTATTTATATCATCATCTTGTTATTATTTAGCTTTTTTTTAATTTTAAATTAAATTATTTTATACATAATATTTTTTAAAGAACTTTTTGTACATTACATATACTTGTATAAAAATGGAATATTAATGAATTTTTTCTTACATATTTGAACTAATTTTAATTTGAGTTATGTTATTAAAATTAAAATTGAAGCTAGTAATATAGTATTATCTTATGTATCATGTAAACACTTTGAAATCTTTCTTATAGAAAAACTTGTAGTGAGTGTTATACTACATAATAGCCTTTTTGATACGTGAAAATAAATTATTTTATTACATTAATTATCAAAACATGGAAAAATTACATTTAAATAATTTTAGGCAAATTTCTTCAACACAAACTTAAAAAATAAAATAAAAGTTATAATTTGAAAAACTATTTAAATAGTTATTTTAAAAAATATATTTTTATTTATTAACTCGTGAATAAATTAATTTAAAATATTTATACGAAGGAACCAAACTTTGAGACATTTGCAAATAGCAAATTATTTATACGAAGGAACCAAACTTTGACGCTAGTAATATAGTATTATCTTATGTATCATGTAAACACTTTGAAATCTTTCTTATACAAAAACTTGTGGTGAGTGTTATACTACATAATAACTTTTTTGATACGTGAAAATAAATTATTTTATTACATTTATTATTAAAACATGGAAAAATTACATTTAAATAATTTTAGGCAAATTTCTACAAACAAACTTAAAAAAATAAAATAAAAGTTATAATTTAAAAGAACTATTTAAATAGTTATTTAAAAAAAAATATTTTTATTTATTAACTCGTGAATAAATTAATTTAAAATATTTATACGAACGAACCAAACTTTGGCACATTTGGAAAATAGCAAATCAAATCAAATCATAGCTATCGAAGCATGGCTTGCAGCGCTAGAAACATCAGCAGAGTTTACAAAGGAATCTTCCAAACCCTGTTCAACATTGGAACTTTAAGGCCAAGATTCGTGCATTCGTGTCCAACCTCGTTGATCCAGAACCTTCTCAAGTTCCGAAGAGACAAGCCCACGGACCAATTGCATCGAGCCCTAGATCAGTGCGGCGTCGACCTCAACCACCACCTCGTTCTCGACGTCCTGCGACGACATCGTTCCGATTGGCGACCCGCCCACTTGTTTTTCAACTGGTCCAAAACCGCCGGCTACGAACCCAGTTCCGATGTCTGCAACGAGATGATCGATATTCTCGGCAAAATGAAGCGCTTTCAGGAGTTGCACCAATTGCTCGACGAAATATCAAAGATAGAGGGACTTATCGACGAAAAAATGTTTGCCACCCTGCTTCGTAGGTTCGTGTGTTCTCATAAAGTGGACGATGCAGTTCAGTTATTCCGCAGGAGGAAGGAGTTCGGATTGGATCTTGGTTCCGAGGCTTTTTGCACCCTCTTGATGTGGCTGTGCAGGTACAAGCACGTGGAAGAGGCCGAAACGTTGTTCCATAATGTGATGAAGAAGGATTGGAGGTATTATAAAAAATGTTAAGGTATCATCTACTAGATTTTGTTATGAAATTGCTTTGATTTGTATCCTCCTTATACAGACTTTGAAAAATAAGAAGGAAAAAAAAAGTTGACTAGCATATATAATTTAACTTTTCCAAATTTTTACAATTTTTCTAAGTTATGTATAAACTAACTTTTTTTTCTTATTTTTCTGAAGGCTCTTTTTACGAATTTGACTACCTAAACTTTTTTTTTTTCCTTACATAATTATCGATTTCGCATATTTTAAAGTGTTTACATATCCGTGAAAGGTGGTGACGTTTTATTATCAATCTTTGCAAAACCAAGAACTGTAATAGGTGACAAAATATATGAAAATTTGATGGTTAAATAAGTGAAAAAAATTAGATGGAAAAATGTACGGTGAAAGGTATGTTTTTTCTTACTAGATAATTCATCATTTGACATTATACTTGCATCAACGTTTTATGTGTTAGCTTTCATGTGGCGGTTTTAGGCCTAAAAAATCCAAGTAGGACTACAACATAAAAATTTCTTGTAGATAGACTAATATATAGAGCTTTTAGATGTAAGAACTAAAATGAAAAGTTAATTAAACCCCCTTATTAATACTGAGGTCACAAAATATTTAGTAATGATTTTTTTATTTTTTAAATTACATATAGTTTTTTTATGGAAAACTTTAATGTCTCTTGTAGTGCCGATATAAAGACCTGGAACGTGATCCTGAATGGTTGGTGTGTTTTGGGGAACGTGCATGAGGCAAAGAGGGTGTGGAGAGACATAGTGGCTTCTCCATGCAAGGCTGATGTATTCAGTTATGCCATCTTCATCAAGGCATTGACCAAGAAAGGAAAACTTGGGACGGCACTGAAGTTGTTCCGTGGCATGTGGGACAAGGGTTGTAGGCCGGATGTTGTGGTATGCAACTGCATCATTGATGCTCTCTGTTTCAAGAAGAGGATTCCTGAGGCGTTGGAGATTTTCCGTGACATGAGTGAGCGAGGTTGAGAACCGAATGTTGCTACTTACAATTCTCTTATTAAGTACATGTGCAAGATACAGCGAATGGGGAAGGTGTATGAGCTGGTGGATGAGATGGAGAGGAGGAATGGGAATTGCTTGCCTAATGCTGTTACTTATTGTTACTTGCTCAAGAGTTTGAAGGAGCCAGGGGAAGTTCACGGGGTTTTGGAGAGGATGGAGAGGAATGGCTGTGGTATGAATGATGATGTTTACAACTTGGTGCTAAGGTTGTACATGAAATGGGATGATGAAGATGGTGTGAGAAAAACGTGGGAAGAAATGGAGAGGAATGGATGGGGGCCAGATAGGAGATCATATACCATCATGGTTCATGAGCACTTTGAGAAAGGGAGGGTGAAGGATGTTGTGCGTTATTTTGAGGAGATGATAGCTAAGGGAATAATGCCAGAGCAAAGGACAGAGAAGTTAGTAAGTTCCTTGAACATTCGGGTGAAGGGGAGAACAGAAAAACGGGAAAGTATTGAAGAGGAGAGAACTAGGCTTTGAGGTCTTGGTATTTGGTCCTATTGTAATTGGATATTCTTTTCTGCTTTTCCATCTTCCGATTGCTAAAGCTCATGCAGCTTCTCCGTGAAATTATTCCTTGCTTAATCAAAGGTGAAGAAAAACTTGTGACATGCAGGAAAGTGAGATAAACATAGCTATGTTGTTTTCTTTTGGCTTTTGCATTCTTAACGAGTAGAACTTCTCTGGTTCAGAATCGAATTTCCAGTTACTTTGGCAAGCCACCTAGCAGCAACTACTTGTGGCGGTGAGGCTAGAAAGAAAAGGGACATGAAACTGGTTGTGGAGGTTATTAATGCTCATGATCTTATGCCAAAAGATGGTGAAGGATCAGCCAGTGCCTTTGTGGAAGTAGACTTTGAAAACCAGCTTAGCCGAACTAGAACTGTCCCAAAGAACCTCAACCCCACCTGGAACCAAAAACTAGTCTTCCATTTGGATGCAACTAAACCTTACCATCGCCAAACTATTGAAGTATCCGTCTACAACGAGAGGAGACTTACTCCAGGCAGAAACTTGCTTGGAAGGGTGAGAATTCCTTGCTCCAACATTGTCAAGGAAGGTGAAGAGGTGTATCAGATTTTCCCACTTGAAAAGAAATGGTTTCTCTCACCTGTTAAGGGTGAAATTGGCCTCAAAATATACATTGCATCAGAGTCCAATTCCAAACCAAAACCTCTTTCTCCTGTTTTCCCTTCAGAACAAGAAAAACTCCCACCTTCTACTCCACTCCAAGCACCAGAATCAACAACGAGTACTACCCTTCCTCTTCCTCATACTATTCCCTCGTACAGAACAGCATTAGAGGCTGGTTCCATTGAAGACCTTCCTGCAATTGACATCCCAAAATCGATTACAGAAGAAGCAGAAGTATATTCTGGTGCAGAAGTTCGGTCTAATGGCGTTGATATCGATCAAGAGCCAAAGAAAGAAAGCAGAGAAACTGTGCTAGAGACAACCCAACAACTAGACAAGCACCAAGTTCTCCAGCCGCAGATGATTTCAGTAAAGAAAAGACCACCAGGTACTCCATCCGCCATGCACTTAGTTGATCCTCAAGTCCAATCTAGTCATCATGAAAACTATAATCACAATGACACCAATCCACAGCCTAGGATTTCAATAAAGAGGCGACCACAAGCACAAGGTACTCCTTTCACAATGCACTCAGTTGATCCACAAGTCCAACCAAATCATGGTGAAGGCTACAATCGCAATGACACAAACCAGCAGCCAAGAATTTCAATTAAGAGACGACCACGAGGACCCGGTACTCCATCACCAATGCACTCCTTTAATCCACAAGTCCGTGCTAGCCATGATGAAGCCTACAACCTCATGGGAACCAATCCACAACAGCCAAGAATTTTAGTAGAGAGACAACAACAGAATACTCCACTCACCACGCACCAAGTTAGTCCCCAAGTCCCTACTAGCAATGATGAAAACTACAATCTCAATGACACCAATGCACATCTTGGCGAACGTTGGCCTAGTGGTGGAGCTTACGGTAGAAGAGGGTGGATGAGTGGCAGTGACCGATTCACTAGCACTTATGACCTTGTTGAGCAGATGTATTATCTGTATGTTCGTGTTGTCAAGGCGAAAGATCTCCCCCAAAGCATCATCACCTCAAGCTGCGATCCTTATGTGGAAGTGAAGCTGGGGAACTACAAGGGAAGAACAAAGCACTTTGATAGGAAATTGAACCCAGAGTGGAATCAAGTGTTTGCTTTTTCCAAAGACCGCATTCAGTCTTCTGTTTTAGAAGTCTTTGTGAAAGATAAAGCAATGGTAGGGAGAGATGACTATCTTGGAAGGGTGGTTTTTGACCTCAATGAGGTTCCAACAAATAGTCCACTAGCTCCTCAGTGGTACCGGCTTGAAGACTGGCGTGAAGAAGGCAAGGTGAGGGGTGACATTATGCTTGCAGTTTGGATGGGAACACAAGCTGATGAGGCTTTCTCTTATGCTTGGCATTTCTCAACATCAGATCAAAGGTATACATGTCACCAAAACTGTGGTATCTCAGGGTGAATGTCATTGAAGCACAAGATGTAATACCGGGTGACAGAAACCGCCTACCGGAGGTTTTTGTGAAAGCTCAAGTGGGCTGCCAAGTGCTGACAACCAAGATATGCCCCACCAGAACAACCACCCCATTTTGGAATGAAGATTTGGTTTTTGTAGCCTGTGAGCCATTTGAGGAGCAACTAACAATCACTGTGGAGGATCGTGTGCACCCTTCAAAAGATGAGGTACTTGGGAAGATAAGCCTACCAATGACCCTCTTTGAGAAGCGGTTAGACCACAGGCCAGTTCATTCGCGCTGGTTCAATCTAGAGAAATTTGGCTTCGGAATGCTAGAAGGTGATAGAAGAAATGAACTCAAGTTTTCGAGCAGGATTCACATGAGAGTATGCCTTGAAGGTGGATACCATGTCCTTGATTAGTCCACATTGTACAGTAGTGATCAAAGACCAACAGCGAGACAGCTATGGAAGCAACCTATCGGGATACTTGAAGTAGGTATCTTAGGAGCACAAGGGCTTCTCCCTATGAAGATGAGGGATGGCAGAGGCAGCACAGATGCATACTGTGTTGCCAAGTATGGTCAGAAATGGGTCAGAACCAGAACACTGCTTGACACTTTCAGTCCTAAATGGAATGAGCAATACACATGGGAGGTTTATGATCCTTGCACTGTGATAACATTGGGTGTTTTTGACAACTGCCATCTAGGTGGAGGAGAAAAAGCTCCAGGTAACAATGTGGTCAGAGATTCTCGGATTGGAAAGGTAAGAATAAGGCTATCAACACTTGAAGCTAATAGAATTTACACCAGTTCTCACCCTCTTCTTGTTCTGCACCCACATGGAGTTAAGAAGATGGGAGAGCTTCAGTTATCAGTGAGGTTCACAGCACTCTCCCTAGTTAGCATGGTTCATACCTATGGCCAACCTTTGCTTCCGAAGATTCATTACATACATCCTTTCACAGTTAACCAAATAGACAACTTAAGGTACCAAGCAATGAACATTGTGGCTGCGAGGTTAGGCCGAGCCGAACCGCCTCTGAGGAAGGAAGTGGTGGAGTACATGTTGGATGTTGACTCCCATATGTGGAGCATGAGAAGAAGCAAGGCTAACTTCTTCCGCATTATGTCACTTTTCTCGGGTATGCTCACAATGGGAAAGTGGTTCAGTGATGTTTGCCTTTGGAAGAACCATGTTACATCAATCCTAGTTCACATTCTCTTCCTTATACTGATATGGTACCCGGAATTGATCCTACCAACAGTGTTTCTGTACATGTTCTTGATTGGTCTCTGGAACTACAGGTTCCGGCCAAGACACCCTCCTCACATGGATACTAAACTCTCCTGGACTGAAGCTGTTCATCCGGACGAACTCGATGAAGAGTTCGACACATTTCCAACTTCTAGATCACAAGATGTTGTGAGAATGAGGTATGACAGGCTTAGAACTGTGGCAGGTAGGATTCAGACAGTTGTTGGGGACATAGCTACACAAGGGGAGCGGTTTCAGTCTCTACTGAGTTGGAGAGACCCCAGAGCAACCAGCCTCTTTGTAGTGTTTAGCTTTTGTGCTGCTGTGACTCTCTATGCAACGCCATTCAGAGTGGTGGCTCTGGTTACAGGTTTGTACTTTCTGAGACATCCGAGGTTTAAGAGCAAGCTGCCTTCAGTACCAAGTAATTTCTTCAAGAGGCTCCCAGCTAGAACAGATAGTTTACTGTGATCTTGTTTTACGAAGTTTTTGCTTGTTATACGTAGTTACATACATACAGTTTGTAGTTTATTCATTTTCTGCTTTAATAATATCCTTGTTACTTCAATATAATAATTAGTCTCTTCAAGTTCACATCATCATAATGTTACTTGGTAAATACTATGATAGATTTTCGTGTAAAGCATAATTATGATTTCGATTGTATGTGACAAAAACCCGGTTAGGCTCAGAAACATCAGAAAACGAGACCAGAACCAACTCAAATAGTAAAAGCAAATGGCGAACCACCAGATCTAAGAGTGCAAGGGGAGCCAGGGAAATAATAAGTAATGAAAAATAAAGCTCACCACGCTACCAATGGATAAATACCTAATTCAATTCTACAAAGTTGATCCGGATTCTCTGCTCGTGAGAATCACACATGCACGCAATCACCGAATAGAACTGCTAAATGAACACCCAATGATTATATTTCATGCTATTATATCCCTGTATTTTGATAAACTACTTATCACAGAACTACAAAATGAAGCTATTTTATCGCAGAACTATTAGGTCTAAACTCCACGTATGAATCAAGATTTTGTAAAACTGGGTTGTGATCAGATTGAAATATGTGTGGCCTCACTTAGGGGCACAGCACAGCAGCATAATATATCAACTCACTCTGCTCTGAGCACAAGTTATGATCCATTTCAACTAGGTTTTGGATACGTTATAGGGATAATTTTCAAAACATAACTTTTACCATTTTTAAAAATTAAAATGAAGTCGTATTTGAAAACATCACTTATATAATTTATTTAAAATCTATTTATTTAAACATTTTTATTTTTAGAAATAAACTACCTCAAATGTAAAAGTAAGAGTTCCAATTGATTGCATGCACATGCAATATTAGACGTTGAAATCAGCCCAATAAAGAATAGGGTGCATGAAAAATAAAATTACTTTTAACAAGAAAATGTGGGTGGAAAGAAAAATTAAATGAATAAAAAATTTATGTAAAAATATATTTGATTTAAAAGAAAAAAATAATAATAATTCTTTTATATATACAGACAATGTCGTCCAATTTCCAAGCATTTGCTATGCCCTGTCCCAATTGTGACAGCTGGTTCTGATGAATCATAGCCTTTGGCCACCTCATTTTTATTGGACAAGGTTACAGCTGTACTTTCAGAATCTCTGTCTGTCACTCTCCTACTCAAATATGGTAATTCAAAATAACTATTTTTATTCTAACTTTAAAATGAATCAGTATCATTTAATCTCAATTAGCGATTTATTTAATACTTAGATAGAGCAAATAACTCGATCCAAAACTGGGACTTTATACAGATATGTACCACAAAGAATTGGAGGAACCGAAGAGTAAAATGTATCCTATATAATCTCTAAAAAGAATCAAAGAATGATCTATATTACAAAGAATTTAGCCTATTATCAACTGTCATGCCTCTTAAGATGATGCTTAAGAACTGTGGTTTTCCATGAAAACCATTTCTGTGTAATCTTCTGAGCAATAATGTTATTTGTCATTGCACATGCACTCAGGAACAGGATACTTGGTGACATCTCTTCTAGCCTTGCTAGTCCTCAGTTCTGGCTGACCTAATGATTCCTGATGCAATTCCTTGACAATGCTGTTGAACTCTTCTTCAGGGAGGGAAGAGTTCAGAAAATAGGGTAGCATCTGTCTTTTGTTTGGTGTTATATATTTCTTGTGTCCTGCATAGGCCCGGTGACCCTGAAATGGCATAATTTCAAAAATTAGAATTTGTCACATAGCACATAGACTCTAGATTAAGAATACATACATTATTACAATATAATGCAAACAGCCTACAACGCTTGTCTTATAATACCTGAATTGCATGGCCCATATTTCCTCCATGAGATGGCATGAAAACATCACTCTTCTCGGAGACTATGTAATCGATGGCAGCCATTAGGGAAGCTTTATTTGCGAATGGTTCTAGTTCTCCAGGTAAGGCAATATCTTCCTTACGGTAAAGATATGGAAACTCGTTGATTAATGGTTGCAAGGCCTCTTTTCCACCTAGTGGTTGTCCTCCAGCCCAATAAATTCTTGCATTTTTTGGAGCTCCCAGAGCTTTAAGCAGCCTATGAATGAGAAGAGGATAGAGGATTAGAAAAGCTTAACACACTAATACTTAGCAGACACCTAAATCCTACATAAAAAGAAGGATCAAGGTGATGCTAGTCAATTTTTTTTGACAGAAATTAGCAATTGATAAAGCTTATTCTACCTGGTAACCTCCACAGCATTCAAGGGGCAGAGGCCAGCCAGCCTCCTTTCATGGTATGTCATGTTTGATTTCGCCGTTAAGAGCTCAGGTCGATGTAGCCTCTCTTTGTTTACCATCTCATCATACTCAGGACTCAAACCAGGTAGACAACCAGTTCTTACCCACACATCCTTTTCCATCCGTAGATGAAGAGCAAGGTAAGGTCCCTTGCTTTTCATTCTCTCAGCAATGTTGTCACCAAGTTCCTGAACAGGCTTTGCAAACCTTAATGCATGAAAAGCAACCTGAAAGATGGGTGAAAACATTTAGAACACACTCTCAATTGGCACATAGGCTCTATTTGGATACAAACTATAAGAGCTTTTGAGAAGTTTTCTACTGAAAATAGAGAAACTCTCAAATGAACTTTCAGCTTATATCCATACAGGCGTATAAAGGAAATTCCAAATTGGTTTTCCCTCTTTGCCATAAGAATATAGACTTTACAATACCTTACATCGGAGCTTCTGAAGATCAGGAGAGAGATCCTTTGTCAGCCTCGAATCCAGTCCACGCAAAAGCAAGACACCTTCTCTGTTGAACTGCATAGGACAATAAGAATCATGTTAAAAACTATTGTTCAACAAGAACAGCACTTACTGTATAACACTACAACACTTAGTGTATCTCTAATAGAAATCTTAGTGCTATAAAACAAACTTACTCTTCTGATATAGTGTGACCGAATCCAATTTGGAGTGGCATGAGGGAGAGGGCTCCTGGAATTGGTTGGCGAAGGTCGAATTGCCTCATAACCTTATTTACTGGATGAAGCTCAATAGTAGCAAAATATATAATTATAACTATAGTATGACTTACAAGATAAACCTCAACATTTATTAGTTGTCGTAACCCAAATCGATGATAAGGAGTCCACAAAAACTGTATTATTGTGTAGAACATGGGAAATTAGAATTATTATGATTTAAGAAAAACATATTGAAAGTTGTAATTGGCTTATACCTCCTTTGGTTTTAATTGATCAAATATTAAACTTAATGTGTGTGATGACGTTGGACCTTTGACCTGATCATGACCATCTATTACATACAAAAAATCATGCAAAATTTTTAGATGAAGTAATTTGAAAAAAAAAGGAATAAAATAATATAAAGTAAATTTGAATAAATTAAATTTTAGAATACCTTTTAGCCAGTGGGAAACCATATCCCACAACAATCTTCTAATTTTTTAAGTCTTCTACCTTAGGATAGATATATGTAATATGATCTCATGCCCAAGCTTGAAGCAATAACATGCATTCTCCAATATTCTCCTGATAGTAGTCAATCCCATGATCCAATGCTCTATACAGACATGCCAAGACAGTTGATGCCCAATTATAGTTTAAAACTAGAGTTAGGTCTTGCAACAATAGGAGATACATTAAATGTAATATAGATGTTGAAGTATCAGGTAATAATAAGCTCCTTATTATTATCATCAATATGTGTGTCCTTGCATGTTTTGCCAGAACATTATCGTCTGCAACATCTGGAAGGTGTTGAAACGAAGTGTTTAACAAAGAGAATTTTATTGTATTCCTTGTAGTAACACCTTATAATGGTTCACAAAATACGATCAAATCTCCACTGCTCAGACCTATAATTGATAGTCCATCAATGGGAAGACCTAATTGTAAGGCCACATCTTTTAATATAAGTGTAACTTCTCCAATGGGAAAATGAAAAACGTTATGATCAAATGATGATTGACATCCACAGTTCTAATTGTCATCAAATTGTCCAAATCCTGCTTGATGGATCAAATTTTTAACCCAATTGTCCAATATATGTGTATGTTTTATTATCCACATGCCCTTCCCATATGCTTCTGTGATATGTTTATCTTAAAGACGTAATAAGACATATATTTGAAAAGCCATTTCTGTAAAATTACACATGTTAATACACAAATTCAAAAGAAGTAGTACATGTAAAATTAGTAACAATATATGAAATAAATAACAGTGTAGACATACACTACATATGAATAATATGTTGTAACAATAATATTTTATATATTATAAAAGATACTGAAAATTATGCTATAACAATAATAATATACTAAAAAAAATTATGCTACAACAATAATTTATCACAAAAAAGTAGTATATTAAATAAATAAAATGAACAAAAGTCATAACAATTTTGTTAGATAGTGTTACCAATAATATATCAACAATACATTAACAATATTGTTGGATAATATTGGAACAACATATGAACAATAATATACTACAGTAATAATTAATATATTATAAAGAATACATAACAGCAAAAATAACATTATATTAAATGAATAAAATGATAAAATATCATAAAAAATAGTAGGATATGAAATAGTAGAGTTGTTGGATAGTGTTACCAATAATATATTAACAATATTGTTGGATAGTATTGGAACAATATATGAATAATAATAATATAGTGAAATATTAATTTATATGTTATAAAAAATATTGGAAACATAATACTTCAGTTGGATAGTGTTATTGCAATAAAGAAAGAATAGAAACTATAAAACTACATGATGAAAATATCTTAAGAAAGATGAGAGGGATGAAAATAAACACAACATGATGTTGTATTTATAGGTACTAACAGTTTTCTACATGATCAAAATTCAAAGGCACAATCAATACAAAATTGAATGTAGCTGAAGCACACTCCTCCTCCTCTACTAGTATTCCTGGAGAGACAACAACATCAACAACACCCTTCATGCTCCATGTGCAAAGTTACATTCTAGGACAACCATTTACACTAAACTCGTGCTTGGAAGCATGATTTTAGTGCAAGGGAGACACATTGAACTTGTGTAAGGAAGCACGATTTTGGTGCAATGTAAACTGTGTTTGCAAGCATGATTTTGGTTTCTTAAAGGGAAATCGTGCTTTGAAGCACATTATGATTTTGTCTCAGCTTGAACTCGTGTTTGGAAGCATGATTTTGGGCTTGCATGCATCTCACATTGAACTCATGCTTGCAATCACGATTTTCGGTGAAATTGTGCTTTGAAGCACAATTTTAGCTTTGTCTCACATTGAACTCATGCTTAGAAACACAATTTTGGCTTGAGCTTGTGCTAAGAAGCACAATTTTGGGTATCCATTTGGCTTGTACAGAAGTCGTCCTTGGAAGCACGGGTTTAATGCTTTTCTCCCTCAAGCTGAACTCATGTATCATTTCACAATTTTGGTTCAACATTATATTTCCCATTAGTTTATTACGTGTTATGGCCAGTAGAATCCTTAATAGTAACTTAAAAATTTAGATGAGGTACATGTCCAGATGATAAATAATATGCTATTAGACGTGACAAAGTGAATAGTATGCAACCACAATAAATTTTCATTGCAATCGGAGGAATATATAATAACCTTCATAGTTTCGATCCAATCACAACAATTTCCATTACAATCATAGTTGTTTATTAAAGTTAAATTTTTGAAAGTATGTTTAGTTGGTTTGATTGAAATTTTATTTAAATTTAGTTGGTTTAATTGAAATTTTATTTAAATTTAGTTGGTTTAATTGAAATTTTATTTAAATTTAGTTGGTTCATTTTAATATCTCGAGTATATTTTTTAACAATTTTTTTTATATTAGATAAAAAAATTTCAACTTGGTAGTTCATCCATGACGAGTTGATAAACTTATTATTTAAGATATTGTTGAAGACTTTACTAACGAAGAAGAAGATAATTTTTTGTCTTCTACAATATACCTGAATGATGATATCCTACTACATGATAGATAATCGTTTAATCAATTAACCCATATAGGTGAAAACAACATCGGGGAAGGTCGGTGTTTTCTGTCAAAACAAGCAATAAAAAGTGCAATAAAACAATTTCATATTGATGAGGGATACAAATTTTCTATGGTTGAGTCTAAAGCTGACAAATATATTTATCATTATATACATTATGATAACGGGTGTCAATGGAAAGTTCGTGCTTCATTTAGTAAAATTCGTAATCAATGGGAGATTAAGAAAATTGAAACACCTCATACATGTTTAAGTACATTGTTAAATTCAAACCATCAAAACTTAGACTTTTTCGTCATTGTTAACATTATTTTTGAATTACTTAAAACAGACCCATTTGTTCCTATTAAAACTTTAATTGCAGAAGTCAAAGACAAACATGATTATACAGTGACTTACAGAAAAGCATGGCTAACAAAACAAAAGGCGCTTGTCGTGGCATTTGGAAACTGGGAAGAGTCATACAATGATCTTTCAAGGTGGTTGCAAGCTGTTGAAGATAGTAATCTTGTCACAATTGTTCAATAAGTTTTTTCTCCTTATTTAGTGTATTGTGTCCATAGTATATAATTTATATTAGAACGTATCTTCTAGTCACTTAATCCATGTATAGAAGACTTCAAATATTGCAAGCCAATTATTCAAGTTGACGGTACATTTCTAACAAGAAAATATCATGCTACGTTATTGATTATAACTGCACAAGATGACAATAGAAACATATTTCTACTTACATTTGCAATTGTGGAAGGTGAAATGAAAGAGACATTAGTATGATTCTTCCAACTTTTAAGATATTATGTTACACCTCAAAATAATGTATGCATGATAACAGATAGAGTGAAAACAATATTGTCAGTTTTACAATAATAAGATCTTGATTAGAATGATCTCACATCCATGTACTATATTCTGTTGGAAAAATTTGGGTCATGTATATATATGATACATAATTTAAATGTGTTAGGGCCATTATTTATTAAGCCAAATAATAAAGTGATATGACTAAATTAAAGTTTTGGCTAAAAGCATATGTCATGAAAATAAAATTGTGTAGAGACCATAGAACAATTTCTAATTTGATGAGGGGCCAAATTGGAAATACTAAAACTTAAGTAATTAACCTAATTCTGGTTATCTAAAGGGTCATGGTCCCCTTCTGAGAGCACACACACAGAACGTAAGTATCAGTCCCGTTCCTTTCTTTCTATCCCCATCAAGAGAGAAAATCAAGAGGGAAATACAGGTGCTCTTCGGTGGAAGACCATAAGATCAATATAGTGCTTCTACAAAGACATCATCGTTATGGCTAATTCAGGTACGCTTTCGCATTCAGTTTACAACATGTTTATCAGTATGGGATTATGTTTATGTTTGATTGTTAGAATCAAAATCAAGATTATTATTATTATTATTATTATTATTATTATTATTATTATTAATTTTCCAACAATTGGTATCAGAGCCGCCCATATTTGATTCATGTCTGTTTAATTTATAAAACCCTAATTATGAAAATTAGGATTAATTTTGTTTTAAACAATTCAGATTACCCAATTTTATGAACTCTAAGTGGAGGATAATCTCTAATTTTTGTGAACCCTAAAATTTAAATTTGGGGGTAACATCCCCAATCTGATTCTGCTTGCTGATGGAACCGTGGAGGAAGCTATGGATTCTTCTTCTTCTTCGTTTTTCACTTTTGTTTCAGTTTAAGTTTCAAGTTTTACTGAGAAAGAAATAGTGTTTCATATTTCAATTTTTCTTGTATTGGGTACTCTGTTCTTTTTTTAATCTTTTGTTTTTATTTAACTTTATGGGTTTGGAATTGGGGGTGGTGTTTGTGGAGTTCCCAACACAGAGAATCTTAGGTAAATGATGAATGTTTCCACATGTTTGGCTGTTATTATTTTATTGCCTCTATCCCCTAGGAATTTAAGGAAAATTTGATGTTAAATTAGGGTCTGAGTGATTATTGTTTAATTCCCTTTTAGGGTTTAGAGCAGTATGCTAAAGAGACTCAGAACTATCTATGTTTCATCCCTAGTGTGATTTTAGGAAGATGTTCATCCTTTATGTATTGGTGGAAAATGAGGCATTTTTTCATCCTTTGATTTGTTCAAATGAGGTGTTCATCCCTAATGAGATTCTAGGGAGGTGTTCATCCTTAGTAGAATTATAACGAGGTGATTCTCTTTTGAATTAGTTTGCAAATATTAAATATTTGGTTTTGTTATATAAATAAAATATTCAATTTTTGGTAGTTTAATATTTTTTTGTGAGCAAATTGAGTCAAGAAGTCACCAAAGTAACTTCTCTTGAATTGGGCAGTTCATGAAAAATATTGAATGTTAGTGTTTGTGTATATTCATGCGAGTATTAGTCGGCCCAAAGGAAGATTAATATTTGGCTGAATTGCATACACACTTGTAATGATAAACATGTGATAATTATAAGGATTTGCTTTGTCGATGATAAATCAATCCAAAGACTGGTTTGTTGTTGGACGTGCTTTATTGTCAATGTTTGATTATTACAACAAGATACCTCTAGCAGTTAATATTACTTGTCCAAAGACTTGATATTGATGGTGCATTAGGTATCTTGAGATGGGTTAAACCACTATTTGAATATATATTATTTATTTTTTATATAATGTGAGCATAATTAGTTTATTTCTCGTGTTCTAAATTCAGCTACAATTGCTTCTATATCTCGCTAATTTAAATTCTGTTCCGGTCCTCAATGGAACAAATTTTAAGGACTGGAAAGAGAACATTGATATTGTTCTTGGTTGCATGGATATGGATTTTGCGTTAAGGACTGAGCAAACCCCTACTCTTACGGATTCAAGTACCTCTGAACAGAAAAGAGATTATGAGAGGTGAGATCGCTCAAATCGCATGAGTCTAATAATCATTAAGTGTGGCATCCCGGAGGTGTTTAGGGGCACTGTTTCTGAAAACATCACAAGTGCCAAAGAATTCCTTGCTGAAATTGAGCAGCGCTTTGCAAAAAGCGATAAGGCGGAGACAATCACTCTTCTTCAGAACTTGATCTCCATGATATATCAAGGCAAAGGAAATATCAGGGAATACATTATGAGCATGTCTAATATTGTTTTTAAACTCAAGGCACTAAAGCTTGAACTCTCAGAAGACTTGCTCATTCATTTGGTGTTGATTTCTCTTCTTGCAATGTTTAATCAATTTAAGGTATCTTACAACTGTCAGAAGGATAAATGGTCTCTTAATGAGCTCATTTCACATTGCGTACAAGAAGAGGAAAGACTAAAGCAAGACAAGACAGAAAGTGCTCATTTTTTGCAAGCACCTCCAAGGCTAAGGGCAAAAGAAAGAGATCAGAGGATCTCGAAAAAGAAGGTGCTAAGGATCCAGAACAAAAGAAACAAACTCAAGAAAACACATGTTTCTTTTGCAATAAGACTGGACACATAAAGAAGAAATGTGCTAAATATCATGCTTGGCGTGAAAAGAAAGGGTTGCCTAAACTACCGGAAGCCAATTGATTCTGAAAGATGGATTTATGTTGGAGATGACAAATCGGTAGAGGTGGAAGCTATAAGACATTTTAAATTGTTATTGAGTACTGGTTTTTTATTTGGATTTGAAAGACACTTTTGTTGTGCCGTCATTTAGACGGAATTTGGTTTCAGTTTCTTATTTGGACAAATTATGTTATTTGTGTTCATTTGGAAACAATAAGTTCAGTTTGTCTTTTAATTCAGATATTGTTGGAACTGGTTCACTTTTGATTTATGATAATCAGTATTTACTTGATATTGTGGCCACCTATAATGAAACCCTTAATACAGAATCACGTGGTACTAAACGTAAAATTGAAAATACTCACTCAAGTGCATTACGGTACAAGTGCTCAGGTCACAATCAAATTGTGACGTTTGGGCTTGTGTTACACACTTAAAGATATGGTAGAGAGTATGATTTGTCATTCCACCTTACTGGAATCACTTTGGGGAGAGACACTAAATATGACAACTTATATTCTAAACAGAGTACCAACTAAAGTAGCTACCAAAACACTTTATGAGCTTTGGATTGGGCGACAACTTAGTCTGAAGCATTTCCATGTGTGGGATTGTCCAGCTGAGACAAGACCTTATAAGTCAAATGAAAAGAAATTGGACTCCCGAACAGTAAATAGTTATATTATTGGTTATGCTGAAAGATCCAGGAGATATATATTTTATGATCCCACATTAAAGACAATTTTTGAGACGGGAACTGCTACGTTCTTTGAGGATATTGAGTTTGGGGGAAGAATAAGATTAAGAACTTCATCTTGGAGGAAGAATCGGTTACAATTTCAGAACCGATTCAAATAGTTACTTTTGATAAAGTAAGTTCGGAACTTCCACAAGGCATTATTGATGAACCCCTTACTCAAGATGATTTGGTTGTTCATGAAGAACAAACTCAAGATCCTCAAGAACCTGTGTATCATGAGCTAATAACTTTGCAGAGATCCACTAGAGAAAGAAGAAGTGCTATTTCAGATGATTATATGGTATTTCTTCAGGAACATGAGGAAAATAATGATATAATGGAAGATGACTCAGTTAACTTCTGTCAAGCTATACAAGGTTCTAACTCTCAAAAGTGGATTGAAGCAATAGGATAAGTATAAGTCCATGCAAGACAATAAGGTTATTGGGAACTTGTCCCATTACCAGAAGGTATGAAACTCATTTGGCTTCAAGATGAATATTGTTGATGATTGTATGTATCACAAGTTTAAAGGGAGACAAGTTTAGTCTCAATCGAGTGCCCAAAGGGAATTTGGAAATTGAGGAAATGCAAAAGATTCCCTATGCATCGATTGTAGGGAGTTTGATCTATGCCCAAGTATGTACGCATCCGGACATAGCATATATAGTTGGGGTTCTAGGCGAGATATTTAAGCAATCCGGGAATAGACCATTGAAAAGCAGCAAAAAGGGTCATAAGATATTTAAAGAGAACAAAAGATTATATGCTCACATATAGGAGGTCGGACCAGTTGGAGATCGGCTGAGTTTTCCGACTCAGATTTTGTAAAATGTCAAGAATTTGTAACTTGCTATGAGGTATCAAATCATGGAATATGGCTGATAAATTTTGTCACAGGGCTGCAAATTGTGAAAGGCATTGAAAGACCACTTAAGTTATATTGTGACAATAAATCAGCTGTATTGTTAAGGAAAGAGTACAAAGTGGACAGATTTTCATAGAACACTTAAGGACAAACTCCATGATACCAGATCCTCTGACTAAAAGACTTCCGCCCAAGGTCTTTCATGAGCATTTTGCTCACATGGGTGTTTTACAGTAGAGACCATAGAGCAATTTCTAATTTGATGAGGGGTCAAATTGGAAATACTAAAACTTAAGTAATTAACCTAATTCTGGTTATCTAAAGGGTCATGGTCCCCTTCTGAGAGCACACACACAGAACGTAAGTATCAGTCCCGTTCCTTTCTTTCTATCCCCATCAAGAGAGAAAATCAAGAGGGAAATACAGGTGCTCTTCAGGTGGAAGACCATAAGATCAATATAGTGCTCTACAAAGACATCATCGTTATGGCTAATTCAGTGCGCTTTCGCATTCGGTTTACAACATGTTTATCAGTATGGGATTATGTTTATGTTTGATTGTTAGAATCAAAATCGGGATTATTATTATTATTATTATTATTATTATTATTATTATTATTATTAATTTTTCCAACATATTCGCCATATTGTCTCTAATTTTAACAAAAGTTCAAAAATATTGATTTGATAAGATAAGTCATCAATCTAGGTAATATTTTCTAACTTACACAAATTAATTCTCTAAATAACATATGTATGAAATTATATTTTTATGTGCAGGATATAAGATGAAACAACTAACATTTTTAGAAAAATTATCTCTTTAAGGTATGAGTTTGAACAACAAATGTCCTGGTTAAGATAGATTCCATCGACAAAATGGACTAAGTCAAGCTTATGATGGAGGGAAACGGTACGGATATATGACAACAAATCTTGTTGTGTCCATGAATTCTGTTATCAAAGGAACACGAATTTTACCTTATATCTACCTTAATAAAAACAACATTTGAAAGAATTAAATCTTGATTTATGGGATAGGCATGAAAGCAAAGTACATGTTACGAGTTAGACACGAGTATCCAAAAGATATTACTACACTGCTTAATAAAAACGAACAACGTGCTTAAATGTGTCATGTTCAAAGGTACCATGAAGAAAATTTTGAGTTTAACATATAAGACCAATTAAATACCCACCATCGTCGAAGATCAATAAACTACACAGTTTGATTATATCAATAATGGTGCGATTGTAGGAAATTCCAAACTTTTTGACTCCCTTGTTCTCATGTTATTGTTTGTTCCTCTTTCCATTTACAATTAAAGCATTTATAAGGCGTATGAATTTCAATTCCATCCGATTAGAAATGAAGATTTTATTAATCTACTTATACAAGTCCAAATTTTGTTCCTAATTCTAATATGTGTCGAGAGACATCAAGAAGACCTACAAGTAATCGGATTTAAAATGAAATGGATGTACAAGTTGGAAATAAACTAAAAAATGTTCATTTTGTCAAAATAAATGACATAATCGTGCAAACTATTTATTTCGACAATAAATTTGTATTTTTTTATCAAAATTATGATATTTTAATATACTCAATTAAATTTATCCATGCCTTTATTTCTCAAATAATTTTTTTTCTATTCAAATTAATAATCAAATTGAAATTAATTATTTTATAAATAATATATTTTAAAAAAAATCAAATAATCTTATTTTTTGAAAAAAAAATATCAAACTCATACTAGATAACATGAGTTCAATAAAAAAAAAAGGAAAATCGTGCTACCTAACATAATTTTAATAAACAATAATAATTCAACTAAAATCGTTTTATGTAACATAATTTTATCTTTAACCGTGAAACTCGTCGTTCGAAATAGTTTTAGTCATGCTGAAATCATGTTTCCAAACATAATTTAACCCTTTTGTGTAATTTTTTTATTTATTTTCTACCATATTACAATATCAATTTTTTTTTGTTGCGTAAAAAGGCATTATAAAGGTGCATGTTCTTCACTCGTTCAATTAACTTTAGATCAAAATCAATAATTTTGACAAAAAAAAATAAATATATATTATTTTGATTAATAGTTTTTATTATATTTTATATTTTAAAGTGTATTCTTCGCTTTTTTATACATTGGAAGAATTTGAATCTACTTATTAGTGTTAGATTTTAAATTTCGACAATAAATAAAATTTATATTTTTTAACTTGATTAGAAAATAGAAAACTCATACAAAATTGGGTTTAGATACTAATCTTTATAGGAAGATGATAGTTTGACACAATTGTAAAAATAACAGCTAGAAAATCCATTCATTTACATAATAATGGTAATAATAATTTTGTGCATAATAATCTATTTAATTATTATTATATTATTACATTTTTGAAACTTAAGTTGTGAAAATATCACTTCCTATTATTTATAAACACCTAAACAGCATTTCTGAATTCTATCTGTCCCTTTCTTTCTATCACATAATCTATAATACTTATAATTTTCTTTTCTATGTGTTATTTGGGTGTCACGTCCATGAATAATTATTATAAGAGTATGATATAAACTGATCTTTTAGGATGTGACCTCGTAGAACTTGCAACTTTGATGAAGTCTATGGTGAACTTGACGCAAACTTGCCTATTTAAATACCATTGTTGAATTTAAAATTTTGTAAACCAAAAAAAAATCTTGTTTTTTTTTTTTTCTTTTTGTTATGATCTTATTTCCCGTCCTCTGTATCAAAGAAATAAATGAAAAAAAAAATCAAAAGAGAGATGAAGTAGAGTAATTATTTTTTTTCCATTTGAGAGAAAAATTGATATGAAAACGAAAAAATATTTATTTTAAAAATAGTATATAATTAAATTAAAATTAAATATTTGTTTAATTATAAAATTATTTATATAAATTTTATTTAATTTTTCATTAATAAATATTTTTTTAAAATAATATATATTTTTTAAGAGTATATTTTTTATATAATTATAAATCATTTATATTATAAAAATATTTTTTAAAATATTAAATTTAAATTAATAAATTAATATCATATTAGAAACAAATAAAAAATATATATATTAAATTATTTATTTAATTTTTATAATTACTTTCATATTTATGATATTTTATTAAAATAGTAATTAATATATATACAAAAATTTGAAAAGAGAAGTGTATATAGAAATTTAAGGAATTCTAAATAGAAAAAGCCTTATGTAAGTCTCTATCAGTTGCTTTTCCAGTAGGCTTGCCTGTGGATGGGAAACATACAAGGTTGGGATTAGGGATTGAGTTCGGCTGTTGCTTCCTGCGTCCGGTACTTTCTTCCTACCGTCCTATAATTAAATTAAACCCATTTTACCTTTATATTTATCTCTATATTTATTTTTAAAACATATTTTGAATTGAACTTTACAATAATACATTTCAAAACACCTAATCTAATTCAGAATGCTATTCTCGAAAGGTTTTTCCAAAAAACCCCAAAATATGTGTTTTAGAAAGGTTTATCTAGAAACACGTTCTAGAACACTCATTTTAAAATACTTTTCCAGAAATATATTTCAAAACATACGTTGTGTTTTCTAGAAACACATTCTAAAACACCCAATACAAAATATATTTCTAAAAAGACTTTTCCATAAACTAATTCTGGAACACTCAATTTAGAGTATGTTTTTCAAAAGGTTTTTCCAAAAACACATTATGGAACAATACATTTTTAAAAAACTAATCTAGATTTATGTTTTCAGGAACTCATTCTATAACATCTATTTTGGAATACATTTTTGGATGAGCTTTTTTGAAATTCAACTTTATTTTCACGACACTATTTTAGATTGAGCAATTTGAGTCTGGTTATATAATTTGAATGCAAGAACATATAATTTATACATAATATTAACTATTACTTACTTTTAATTATTAGAAAAAGTCTTTAATGGATGTGATAGAAAAAAAAAAATCAAAGGTGAAGTTGTACACAAAATTAAAAAAGAAGTTAGAGTAAAAAAAATTATGGAAAATATATTTTAGATATATAACTTAAGATAGGTGTAAAGAGAAATTATGTGGGTACAGGAAGCAAGAGCGACTGAGTATTTGTGCATGGGTTCTGTTATTTATGCATGGGCTTGGTGATCAGTGTAAGAAGGCTTGGATATCCTTTGAACCATGTATTTAAGTTTTGTTCAAGATATCTGTAAATTTTAATTTATTTTAATAATTAGTTTTATGTATAATTAATTATTTTTATGATTGGTAGTTTATGATGAAATAAGTTTTCTGAAAAGTGGTTTTAAGATAATTAATTCTGTTTAGATACAACAAAAAACATACCAGTTTTTACATAAGAAAAAAAACTGTGTAAAACTGAAAAAAGAAACTGTTAGAAAATAATCATAAATTACAGATTTTTAGATTCACTAAAATAAATTATTTTTCAGAAAAAATAATATTTCATTAATTTTTCAGCTGATATTATAAACATCCAATTTATTTTATAAAATTTGTTCTTTGTAAATAAAGGAAAAAAAAAAGTTTTTCCAAAATACTGTAAAAAAAAATCCTAATTAAAAAAAGTATACATTTTACGAATCAGACGAAATGTGAACAAGTTCATCTTCTCAGTATTAGAGCATAACATAAAATTTCCAGAGTAACAGGGTATTCAAAAGTATACTTTTTTTCCAAGTGCCAGAGCAAAACAAAACATAAATCATAAGTATCAGAACATGATATGTACGAAATAATTACCCGAAACAAAAATATCAGAACAAATGGTAGATTATCAGAGGAGTATCAACAGAGCTAAAAGAGATAAATCGAGTCAATGTTATCCTAAATATTATTTATGAGAGTCATTTTAATTATAATTAGTTGGATAGAATTACGAAAAAGAAGACATGTTTAGAATATATGTGAGGATTTTAAAAAATGTTGAAACATGGGATTTTAAGAAATGTTCAAACATTATCCATTAAGAATGTTATTAGAATGAGATTTATATTCGACCATCTAGTTTAGAGATGTGATAAAAATCTTATTGGATGTGAAAATGTGTGATGAAATATTAGATCAATTGGAGAGATAAATCTCACTTTTAGAAGTGTTAGATATTTTTAAGAGATTTAAAGAAAATAATATGATTCACTTTTCAATTTAAAATTTTAAAAATTATATTATGTGTTTTTTTTTTATTTAAAAATTATTAAACTTTTCTATTTCTAGTGAGAAGTATTTTTTATAATATAAGAACTTTTCATTAACGTAATACTAGTTGACTAGTATATATTTTGTGACTGTTAAGGTCATGAATCAATAATGTAGACTGGAAATGAGTGGTTGGATGTTGGAATTCAAACGCAAAGTTTGAACACTCAATAAGTAATTGACGGGGCAAAGTCAAGTCAAGTCTCGAAGCAATTCGGTGCTGTGGCATTCAAATTTAAGGGTGGGTTCTACAAGCTTATAAACATAGGTTTTGCTGGAGGAGTAAAAGTTGCGTTAAGATTTGGTTTTACACCGTATAATACCGTTGATTTAAATATGTTTGTTAGAAGCAGGCCTGCAATATCTGCCATATTGGTTTTTCTTGGAATATTATCATCCATTACAGGTAAAAACACATTTCTCCCTTTCGAAGTGAACCACTATTTTTTTTTTTCTGTCTCACTTATTTACATCATGATTGTGTAGTTGCAGATGCCATAGGAGTTTGTTATGTTGGTGATAGTCTAGAATCAAGGCAAGAAGTTGTGGAATTATACAAAAGAAATGATATAAGCAGAATGCGTATATACTTCCCAGACGAAGAAGCACTTGAAGCCCTTAGAGGTTCAAACATTGAGTTGATCATGGACGTGGCTAAAGAAACCATTCATTCTCTGACTGACCCTAAAGTTGCCATAGATTGGGTCAACAAATACGTCACGCCCTATTCACAAGATGTCAAATTCAAGTACATCTCTGTTGGAAACGAAATCCACCCTGGTGACAATGAGACCCAATACATTCTATCTGCCATGACCAACATCCACAACGCAATTTCGTTAGCCAATTTGCAAGCCCGAATCAAGGTATCAACAGCAATAGACACTAGTTTGATTGGTGCGAGCTACCCACCCAGTGCTGGGGATTTTACAATGCTTGCAAAACCATATATGAAGCCTATCATTGAGTTCTTAGTGAGCACTGAGGCCCCAATTCTTGCCAACGTGTATCCCTATTTCAGTTATGCTAGTGATCCAAGTAACATTGGTCTTGACTATGCCCTTTTTACCCAGCAAGCAAACAATAGTGTTGGGTACCAAAACCTCTTTGATGCTATGATGGATGCAATATATGGTGCACTTGAGAAAGTGGGAGCAAGCAGTTTGCAAATAGTTGTTTCAGAGACTGGGTGGCCATCTAAAGGAGAATTTACCTCTGCCAAAGATGCATCCACTTATTACACCAAGTTGATTAATCATGTCTCCAGTGGGATTGGAACTCCGAAGAGACCTGGTAGGTATATAGAGACTTACTTGTTTTCCATGTTCAATGGAAACCAAAAACAAGACAGGGACAATAAGCAATTTTTTGGTCTTTTCAGTCCTGATAAATCACCCAATTACCAACTCAGTTTCAATTAATTGAATCTGATAGATATTGATTGCTATATACATGGTTTATTTTATCGTAAGGAGGGAAAATGCATGGTTGTTTCATTATTCATGGACTGAATTATCCAATTAATGCCTCAATGAGGATCACGTGGTTTTGGGATTTTTTTTTTTCAGTTTTAATTACCCATTATACCCAATTTTTGTTCCTCTGAGAAATTGGTCCCCTGTGGAACCCTATTTTTCACTGTTACTTTTTATGTTTTTATACTCTTCTTCTGCGTTGTGACTCCGTAGTCAATTGATAATTAGAGACCCTAAATTATGATTTTAATATAATATTATAATAAATAAAATTGTGGTATTATACTAACATAATAAATTTAAAATAAATATTGATAATTAATGTCGATATAAAATATTAATGTTATGTAAATACTAATATTTTTAAGAAAACTTTAGCATTATTAATATTAGTTAGTTGAATACATTTCATGTAAAATATTAAAAAATTTCTAAAGATATTTTTATGATAAATTTAATTGAAATAAATTATTATATTTATTAATTATAATAATAATTTTATTTTTTAAACATTTTTATCAATATATTTATAATTTTTATGCATTTTCCTAAAAAAAATTAATAATATTATTACTTATTGTTAATTATTTTTTCATTAATATTTTAGATTTATATTAAAATGAAAAATTATATTTTATAAGGAAAAATAACTGAATTGATAATATTAATACCGTTAAAGTTTTATTAAAAATATTTCTGTTTACATAAATGTAATATTTTATGTTAAAACTAATTTTATATAGACATTTATTATCAGATAGGTTTATATATTTTTTAAATAATTTTAATAAATTTATTAATTAAGTGAATATATATGATTTCAAAATAATTATTTTAACATAATTTTAAATTTTGTGGTCTCCCATCATCAATTTGTGTTTGAGAGTGGGGTTTCCTATTGAACGAATAATAAAAAACACACACGGAAGAATCACGACTTTTTTTCATAAATAATATTCTTTTTAAAAATATTTTCCAAAATAGCATATCTGGAACATTATTTACACAATTAGCATCTGTTATCTGTTCACGTATTAAAATAATCGATTATTTCATATCATGATCGATTATTTCGCGCAGTCATTTCTCGCTCCAGCGAAGACAACCTTCGCTTAAGCGAGGAAAACTGTAACAAAGGGGTAATCTCGGGTCAATTCTCGCTCACGCGAAGAAATTATCCGCTTGAGCGAGGAAATCTGTAACAAAGGGTAATCTCCAGTCAGTTCTCGCTAAAGCGACGGATATTTTCGCTTGAGCGAGAAGTGATTAAAATATGTGGTGACCAAAGTTACGTTATCTGGCTAACTGCGTTGGACGTTTAGTCCTTGGTCAATTCGCGCTCAATCGATGAATTACATCGTTCGAGCGAGAATTGATTGGGTAACTGCGTTGGACCGTGGTCAATTCTCGCTCACGCGAGACATCCACCGCTTGAGCGAAGAAATTTATAATCGATTATAATGTGAACTAATCGATCATATATCATATATGTGTCACTTTTAAGAGCGATTAATATACTTTTAATATACTTTTAAAATATACTTTTAATAGCGGTTAATTATAGTAAATTTATCAATGACGTCATTTTCATTACATCTCTTTGATACATAAAATGTATGAACCATTTTGGGATCACATATTTATTATGTTTGGTTTTATTTTATTTATTATCTATTATTTATGAAATCTAAGCATATGGTAATCATCCCTATCGGATATTATCTTTGTGATTCATGTTTATATTTCTTAATTGATATTTGTGTTTGTTTTGTAATTGATATGATTAATTTATTTATCAATGTTATCCAAGTGGGAGAATGTTGTATTTATATAATTTATTATTATTATATATATATATATATATATATATATATAAATTATTATTCTCTATTTGTTATGGATTAACATTAATCAATAAATTAATTATTTGTAATTATCAATTATATTACACATCATCATTTTTTTTATAATATAATAATTTAATTTGGGTTTCCGATGAACGGTTCGTGATGGGTTGGATCTGTTCGGAATCGAGTTACTTATTGAGAGATCCCTGGTCTCTATCGATAGGTGGATAAAAGCTGATACCCCATTAATCAGTTTTATGTGTGACAATAAAAACCACTTTACACACTACGTTCAAGAGAACCTATCGAAAGAGAGCAATATTCTCTCATATGCGCTCTATGGATCCTTCAACGATTCCAGGTACACAATGTTTTGAATATATTATATTTTGTTGTATCTTATATTATATTATTATGTATTTCACACAATTGGTATCAGAGCCAAAAGATACAGAATATAATTGTTCATTAATTTTTGAAGAGTGTATCATAAATTTTAATAATTATTCATTATGAAGGCATGAAATTTTAATTTTCTCGTTTGAGTTCAAATTAATTGAGTAAGGGGTGGATTTCAAAATTCTTTTCTGGGCAGAGAATTCTAATTAAATAAAATCCCCAATTATAAAAATTAGAGTTTTTTTTGTTCTGTTTGAACCCTAAATCTGCAATCAGAGGTTGAACCCTAAATTTGCAATCAAAGTTTTTTTTTCCTTGAACCCTAAATCTGTAATCAGAGGTTGAAACCTAAATTCACAATCAGGGGTTTGTTCTGTCTGAACCCTAAATATGCAATCAGAGTCTTTTCTTTTGAACCCTAAATCTACAATCCTTTTAACATGTTTCGAATCAAACATTTATGTTATAAATCTCTGTAACAATGATGGGCAAAACAATTTAGATGTTTCTTTTTCGAACCTTTTCTTCCCGCGCGTCTTCATCCTCTGTGGTGGCTGCGCCTCTATTTTCCGTTTTCACTGCATGGTTCCAGCGACGGTGGTCTACGCAACAGGTGGTGGTCTGCGACGGTGGGTATCTGCGTCGTCGTCTTCTTCAGCGCACCTCCTGCGTGCGCATCCCTGCCGACGAGAACCAGTGGCCCGCGAACTCGCTTCACCTCCGTTGAAGCATGCATCTCCCTCTATGGTGGCTGACGTGGCGCTTTTATGTTGTCTTGGAGGATCTGCAAATTCCAGAGGTGATGCAAGGAGAAGAAAAGTTGGATTGCGAGGCGATGTGAATGGGTCTATGCATTATGCTAGATTCAGGAAAGTTCCCCGACCTCGGATGCAGAAATGCAAGCTCGTAAATGAGTGATCTTTGAGGTGAGACCAGGTCCATCCTCTGCAGTGGGGGACCGAGACACGTGTGGAGCCTCGAAGGTCTTCCCACGAAATTGGCCCAATCCACAGTCATTCCTCATTAAATTAAATTAAAATTTTATATAATATATTATAAAGATGGTTGATTAATTATATAATATATATATATATTATAAAGATGATTGATTAATTATATAATATAATATATAATATATATATATAATAAATTATATATATAAAATCTTATCATTATTATAAATTCATGTATCATATAACTTCATTATAAGCATGATATAATTTTATATGATTGTGAACTCATCTATCATGGGTACAGTTATATGAAATTTTGTAAAAATAAAATAATTTATTTATTTTGTACAAATAAAATAATTTATTTATTTTATTTAATTTTATTATGTCAATTATTTGTCTTGTACCCTATCGGTATTAGATTTCTAGTACATGAGATGTGCATTGTATTTTTTATTTGGTACAATGTAATTTTGAATTTTATTATGTCAATTATTTGTCTTGTACCCTATCGGTATTAGATTTCTTATGACATGAGATGTGCATTGTATTTTTAATTTTTATTTTAATTATATTTCTTATTTATTATGACTCGGGACCCTTAGGCGGGGTCATAGTGAATGAGAAATTTGATATCATAGGCATGTTTTGTTGTGTATTTAGAGACATTTATTTTGTTTATTTGCACAATAATTGTGCGTATTAAATGTTTCTTTGTTATTTTGATACCAGCTTCTTTGCCTATGCAATTGACTTCGGTCAAAACTTTAAATGGGACAAATTTTGAGGATTGGAAAGAATCTTTGGATTTGTATTTGGCAATTACCAATATGGACCTTTGTTTGAGAGAGAACGAGCCTCCAGCTCTTACTCCTGAGTCCACTACTGTCCAAAGAGCTTATCGTGAGAAATGGGAACACTCAAATAGGGTGTGTTTGATGGTGATGAAATACACCATGGAGAAGTCTATTCGACAAAGCATTCTGGATGATGATAATGCTAAGGTTTTTCTGAGATCAGTGGGTGAGAAGTTTAAGACTTTTGACAAAGCTCAAAAGGGTCAATATCTGTCACTTCTTGAGAAGACCAAATATGATGGTGTCAGTGGTGTTCGTGAGCATATGATGAAGCTTGTGCACTATTATAACAAACTCAAATCTTTAAAGGTGGAGCTTGGTGACAGTTTTTTGATTTGGCAGGTTATGGAATCACTTCCTTCTCAGTTTGATGTGTTGAAGACTTCTTACAACGCTCAGAAGGAGGAATGGACAATTGATGAGATGATAGCTATTATTTCCCAAGAGGAAGAATCTATTAAAAAATCCAAGCCGCATAGTGTGCAATTCACAGCTATTACTTCAGGTACTAAACCTATTAAAAAGGGTTTCAAAGGCAAATCTCGCCATGAAAAAAGGAACAAAGGGAAAACATTAGTAGGTTTGGAGCCTAAGAAGAAGTACTTTAAGGGGAATTGTGCCTATTGTAAGAAATTTGGGCATAAGCTAACTGACTGTTATATTCTTAAGAAGAAGAATGCTGATAAGGAAGGTAAGCACATGTATGTTCTAGCTTGTTTTGAATCCAATGTTATTGATGTTCCTCCCAATTCTTGGTGGTTTGACTCGGGTGCTACTATTCATGTTGTGAATTCTTTACAGGGGTTCACAAGCCTGAGAAAACCAAGTGACCTTGAATCCAAGATTATCATGGGAGATGGAGCTAGAGCACAAGTTGAAGACATAGGAGTAGTGTCTTTAAATTTACCTTCTGGACATGTTTTGTTATTGAAAGATGTTGTTTATGTACCTTCTATGCGAAGGAATTTAATTTCAGTTTCAGCTTTGGATAAATGTGGCTACACTTTTGAATTTGGCAATGGAAAACTTGCTATTTACTTCAATTCAATTATTGTTGGCTTAGGAGTTTTATGTGATGGGCTTTACATGTTAAATCTGAATGACATGTCTATTAATTCTATTGTTGGACATAAGCGTAGTAGAGTTGATGAAAATTCCTCTATGTTGTGGCATAGACGTCTGGGGCATATTTCTAGACCTCGGATTGAGAGGTTGATTAAAGAGGGTATTCTGCATGATCTGAATTTTTCTGATTTTGATACTTGTGTTGATTGCATTAAGGGCAAGCTTACTGCAAAAGTAAGAAATGCAGGTGCAAACAGGTGTGATGATGTGTTGCAACTTATTCACACTGATATGTGTGGACCTATGACACCCATTTCCATGGGTGGATACAGGTATTTTATCACGTTTATAGATGATTATTCCAGATTTGGATGGATAGATCTCCTACAAGAAAAGTCAAGTTCCTTGGATGCTTTTAAGTCTTTCAAAGCTGCTATTGAGTTGAAAACTGGAAAGAAGATAAAATGTGTAAGGTCTGACAGAGGTGGAGAGTATTATGGCAGATATGATGAGACTGGAAGAAATCCAGGACCTTTCGCTAGATTTCTTAATGAATGTGGTATTGAAGCTCAATATACTATGCCCGGTACTCCTCAGCAAAATGGTGTTGCAGAAAGGAGGAATCGCACTCTTCTAGATATGGTGAGATGTATGTTGAGTCATTCCTCTTTACCGAATTTCCTTTGGGGAGACGCTTTAAGGACTGCTGTGTATATTCTTAATCAAGTACCTAGCAAGTCTGTTTCAAAGACTCCTTATGAGCTTATGACTGGGAAGAAGCCAAGTTTAAGACACTTTCATGTGTGGGGTTGTAAGGCAGAGGTGAGACCTTATAATCCTCAGATGAAAAAACTTGATCTTAAGACTGTCAGTGGATTCTTCATTGGCTATTGTATCGGTTCTCGTGGTAGCAGATTTTACTGCCCTTCTCACTCCATCCGAGTTATTGAGTCTGACCGTGCGATATTCTTTGAGGATGATTTGGACAGTGGGAGCAGTGTGCCACAACCAGTCACTCTTAGAGAAGGCCGTGTTGTTGTTCCCGTACCATCCAATTTTTTTCATGCAGATAATGTGATTCCAGTTGTTCGTGATGAAAATGATTCGGTTCCAGATTTTGTTGATGCTACATCACATATAGTAGATGAACAAGTTCATGATGATGTGACTGAAGAGGTTCCTTTGAGGAGATCTCAAAGATTACGCAAGTCTTCTATACCTGATGATTATCAGGTGTATCTTCAAGAGCATGAATATGATCTTAATGATGTTGATGATCCTACTACTTTTAAAGAGGCTATCTCTAGTTCTCATGGTTCTGATTGGTTAAATGCTATGCATGATGAGTTAGCTTCTATGGCCCATAATGGAGTTTGGGATCTTGTGGATTTGCCACTCGGTTGCAAACCAGTTGGGTGTAAATGGGTCTTCAAGACTAAGCGTAATCCAGATGGAAAAGTTGAGAGATATAAAGCTAGACTTGTAGCAAAAGGCTATAGTCAGAGGGATGGCATTGATTATAAAGAGACTTTCTCACCCGTCTCTACTAAGGATGTTTTTCGTGTGGTTATGGCTTTAGTAGCTCATTTTGATTTGGAACTTCATCAAATGGATGTCAAAACAGCTTTTCTTAATGGAGATTTATTTGAGGAAGTGTATATGATTCAACCTGATGGTTTTGCTAATAAAAACAATGAGCATTTGGTTTGCAAGTTAAAAAAGTCTATTTATGGGTTGAAACAAGCTTCTAGACAATGGTATTTGAAATTTGACCAGGTGGTCACTTCTTTTGGCTTTAAGGAAAACGCCTCGGATCAATGCATTTACTTGAAGAAAAATGAGAGTCATTTCATTATTCTTGTCTTATATGTTGATGATATTCTTCTTGCGAGTAGCAATGTTGAACTTTTGGCTGAGACAAAATCTATGTTAAATAGTCATTTTGATATGAAGGACCTTGGTGATGCCTCTGTTGTTCTGGGCATTCAAATTTTTCGTGACAGGTCACGTGGCATTCTTGGATTGTCTCAAAGAGGATATATTGATAAAGTCCTTAAACGGTTTAACATGCATTCTTGCTCCTCATGTGTAGCACCTGTTCAAAAAGGTGATAAATTCTCTAAATCTCAATGTCCTAAAAATGATAATGATAGAATTGAAATGGAAAAAATTCCATATGCTTCCGCTGTTGGTAGTTTAATGTATGCTCAAGTTTGTACTCGTCCCGATATTGCTTTTGTTGTTAATGCTTTAGGAAGATACTTGAGCGACCCGGGTTTGGGTCATTGGAAAGCCGTTAAAAAGGTCTTTAGATATTTGCAGGGAACTAAGGATTACATGTTGACCTATAAGAAGTCTGATCAACTTCAAGTCATTGGTTATTCTGATTCTGATTTTGCTGGTTGCCCTGACGATCGAAAATCTACTTCTGGTTTTATATTTAAGTTGGCAGAAGGAGCTATTTCTTGGAAGAGTGTTAAACAAACTCTTACAGCTACTTCTACTATGGAGGCAGAATATGTTGCTTGTTATGAAGCTACTTGTCAAGCTGTGTGGCTTAAAAATTTGGTTTCTGGCTTTCAAATTGTTGAAAGTATTTCCAGGCCACTTGTGATATATTGTGACAACACTGCTGCCGTACATTTTTCTCAAAACAACAGAAGTTCTACTCGCTCAAAGCATTTTGATATAAAATTTCTGTTTGTTAGAGAAAAAGTTTTGGATTTTCAAACTCGGATTGAACATACTGCTACAGAAAATATGTTAGCAGATCCACTGACTAAAGGCTTAGCTATAGGAGTTTTTCAAAATCATGTAACTCATATGGGTGTGGTTAAGTCTTTTGATGTACTGGGTTAGTGGGAGTTTGAGATTCATAATTTATATTATTATGGTTTTTACGAGATGTAAATTTATCAATGACGTCATTTTCATTACATCTCTTTGATACATAAAATGTATGAACCATTTTGGGATCACATATTTATTATGTTTGGTTTTATTTTATTTATTATCTATTATTTATGAAATCTAAGCATATGGTAATCATCCCTATCGGATATTATCTTTGTGATTCATGTTTATATTTCTTAATTGATATTTGTGTTTGTTTTGTAATTGATATGATTAATTTATTTATCAATGTTATCCAAGTGGGAGAATGTTGTATTTATATAATTTATTATTATATATATATATATATATATAAATTATTATTCTCTATTTGTTATGGATTAACATTAATCAATAAATTAATTATTTGTAATTATCAATTATATTACACATCATCATTTTTTTATAATATAATAATTTAATTTGGGTTTTCGATGAACGGTTCGTGATGGGTTGGACTGTTCGAGAATCGATTACTTATTGAGAGATCCCTGGTCTCTACTGATAGGTGGATAAAAACTGATACCCCATTAATCAGTTTTATGTGTGACAATAAAAACCACTTTACACACTACGTTCAAGAGAACCTATCAGAAAGAGAGCAATATTCTCTCATATGCGCTCTATGGATCCTTCAACAATTCCAGGTACACAATGTTTTGAATATATTATATTTTGTTGTATCTTATATTATATTATTATGTATTTCACACACTGCTATCTCAAATCTCAGGTCAATTCTCGCTCAAACGACAGTACTTTCGCTTGACCGAATGCAGTTAGTCACATAATGCAGTGAAGTTGCTTGACCGAATGCTCCTTCGTGGTTTCAGCGCCGATGCTCTGACTTATGGATATTTAATGCATGGGTTATGCAGAATGGGGCAAGTTGATGTAGCAAGGACCTTGCTGAACAAAATTCTCAGTCCCAATATTGTGCTCTATAATACATTAATCAATGGATATGTTGCTAGTGGAAGGTTTGAAGAGGCGAAGGATCTTCTGTACAACAGCATGGTAACTGCAGGTTATGAGCCTGATGCTTACCCGTTTAACATAATGATTGATGGACTTTGCAAGTAAGGTTATTTGGTTTCTGCCCTTGAATTTTTATCTGAGGTGGTAGCAAAAGGCTTCGAGCCCAATGTGATCACGTACACCATATTGATAAATGGTTTCTGCAAGCAAGGCAGATTAGAGGAAGTGACTCAAATTATGAATAGCATGTCAGCCAATGTGATCACGTACCACATATTTCAATCATTTCTCGCTCAAGCGAAAGTACCCGTCGCTTGAGCTAGAATTGACCCGAGATTTTAGATAGCGGTTGTAAAATTAACCGCTATTAAAAGTATATTTTAGATAGCGGTTAACGTGGAACCGCTGTTATATGTCGATTATTTTAAAATTATGATCGATAAGTTCACATTATAATCGATTATAAATGGCTTCGCTCAAGCGATGTATATCTCGCTTGAGCGAGAATTGACCACGGTCCAACGCAGTTACCCAATCAATTCTCGCTCGAGCGAAGTAATTCATCGCTTGAGCGATAATTGACCAAGGGCTAAACGTCCAACGCAGTTAGCCAGATAACGCAACTTTGGTCACCACATATTTTAATCACTTCTCGCTAAAGCGAAAATACTCGTAACTTGAGCGAGAATTGACCGGATATTACTTTTTGTTACGGATTTTCTCGCTCAAGCGAATGATTTCTTCGATTGAGCGAGAATTGACTGCGCAAAATAGTCGATCATAATATGAAATAATCGATTATTTTAATACGTAAACAATAAACACGTGTGAGTTGTGTAAATAATGTTTCAGATGTGCTTATTTTGGAAAATATTTTTAAATAGAGTATTATTTATGAAAAAAAAAGTCAAGAATCCCATAAACATTAAAAACCACAATGAGAAATTGGGCTGCTACCGAATTCTCAGAGGAATTGCGTACCGATATCGGCCTAGTGGGCTCGTTGTTTGTTTTATATATATATATATATATATATATATATATATATATATATATATATATATATATATTCTAAGTTCTTCTAACTCTTCCATATTTATCAAAAATAATATTATCCTTAGTAATTCGAAAAAGTATTTTAGAGATAAAAATATTATTAGTATATCTGAAACATATAATATATTGTTTAAGTTACAGACTAGATCATTCAAAATATATAAAAATCATATATATATTTTTTAAATTATATATAAAAATAAAGGAGTTTTTTATTAATATTTTGTTTAATACATTTATTAATATTATGAAAGGAGATTTATATAAAAAAGTAAAATATTAAATGTATTAATAATATATCTATATCTATAATTATATACCAGGTGTTTTTTTTTATAATAGTATTTTTCCTCTGATAAAGAAAAATAAAAATATTATAGAAAAATAAAAATAAAAATGTTATAGTTTAAAGATAATATAATTATAATGATTTATATATTTAAAAAATAATAAAAAAACGAAAAAAAAGTGAAAAAGTAAGTATATATATTTAAAAAGTGAAAAGAGAAAATAAAATAAAATTTAAAATAATATTAATGAAGAATTAATTATAACAAATTGTGGACACGCATAAAGTATGTGTTTATACTGGTAACTATATAATTATAATGGAGATTCGTAACATTTTTTTAGTATTATTAACTTAAAAATATTTTTTTTAAAATTAATTATAAAAAGAATATTTATACACAAACACTTTAATACCAATATTGTCACTAATGTTTATAGTTATGTTTGTTTACACTTTTTATATATTATAAATATGAATTCACTAAATGCACACATAAGATAATAAAATAATTTTATATGGGTCAATCCATTACCTGCAATCATATAGAAGATGCCAGAGAAATTAAACATATTTTATATAGATCAGGCGATTCCGCTTTTTACGTCCATAAATAGACCAGAACAACACTATAATTTGAAAAAAGAAAAAACATTAAAAAAATATAAATTTTCAAGGGGTAGAAAATAATAGGTTGAAGTGAATTTGGTTTTTGATATATTAATAATTCAATTTTTCTAAACATTTATTCAATAATTATTTAAATTTTTTTGTATTATTATTTATTTATTTCATTTTATTTTTCTTTATTAAAATAATATTTAAAGATTATTTATAAGATGTTTTAAAAAATTAAAATCTTAATTTTTTTATTATTATTATTTAGATAAGAGGCATTTATTCAATCATTTAAATTGATTGACATTATAGTTAAAATCAATTATTATAAAAAAAAAAATTAATCATGATTTTATCATTAAAAAATATTTTGATAAAATAAAAAAATATAAATTATAATTATTTTAACAATAAATATCCTAATTTATTATTATTAAAAATAATTATTTCATTTAAAATATTATTCATTTTAAAATTTTAATATAAATATATCATAATTTTATAGTTAAAATATATTAATAAATATATATATATATATATATATATATATATATATATATATATATATATTACAATTTTATTCCTAAAGACTATGATATTCATGGACAATAATGTAACAACGTCATTCCTTTAGACGGATTAAGAAAAAAAGTTTTGGATTTGACCATTGTGAACAATTAAGTTCAACGTAACTCAAGTCCTCTGCGTGGGAACAAATTTCCTCGTTATTAAAGTATTCACATTGAATATAAAAATAAGATTTTTTTTTTATAAGTATATACTATATAATTACCAAAATATTTTCAGAATTGATACTACAGATAGATTATAAATATTCTAAAATATTTCCAGAATTGAGACTATAGATAACTATAAATATCCTATTTATTTAATTGAAACATTTTATAATGAATTAAATAATACCTCATATGTAATTATTAATTCTATTAATATTATTTTAACCTAATTTTTTATCAATTTTAAATATTTCATAATATTATTTATAGAATAAATTTAAATATCAATTTATTAATTAAATACTTATTTAATCTAAATTTCAACGACAAATTACTAATATTTATAATAAATAAATATATTAAAAAAAAGTTTTGTGGAAGTATTTTTCGTTTAAATTTGCTTTATATATATTGATAGTGTACATAATTTATATTACCAATAAATTATAAACGATTTTAAATATTAAATTTATAATAATTATCATGACAACTAATAATTAGTATATAATAAAAATAATTTTTATTTAATTAAAAAACTTCTTTATAAACTAAAATTCATTTGTATGAAAATATTTTTTAAATAAAATAATAAAATTCTATGAATATAAATTAATGAATTGTTTTATTATATTTTACATTTTTTATTAAAAGTATTTATAAAAAAAATAAACACACCACAAATAATTCTTTACCTCTTCAATCTAAGTAAAATTCATATAAGGTTTAAAAATAAAAAAATATATTTTATAAATAAAAAGTAGGTTTAGAATTAAAACTGATTGTACAAAAGACCCCATAGATACTAAATTTTCTTTAAGATGATATTTTTTTTTCCAGCCGCCATTAATTAGTACATTCCTTTGTTTGATTTGTAAATAAATTAAATTTAGTGATAACGAAGTAAGAAACGTGTCTATTATGAGTTCTGACCTCTATAAGAGGTTTTTCAATAGAATATTCATATTGAATACTTGTCAACTATTGAGAAGTTTTAGAAGTATCCTTTAAACAAGGGATTAAGGTAATAAAGTAGATTAAATTCCGTGGATTAATCGGTTAACTCATAATTATTATAGTGAGGTAAATTGATATATTTAACTTATTGGGATTAATTTGTCTAACCTATGTGAAAGAAACAAGTGGATTAAAGAATTATAATTTATTGTGTTGTATTATTTGAAATAATAATAATAATAATAGTATATTTATAAATTAAGTTTTAACTATTTATTACAATTACATAATTTAATATATAAACTTTTTTTATCAGAATATCTAATAATTGTTTAAAAGTGCGAGTTGAAATGATTAATTAATTAAAAACAGAAAGTTAAATAATTTATAATAAAAAATCTAAAAAATTAATATGTTTATAGGTAATTTCAAATAATATTAATGTATATATTGAAGTTTAATATTTAAATGGTAGAAAATTTTGATTTCATAAAAAATAATGACTAATTAAAGATATTTATAATCTGATTAATTGTTTTTACAACCACATATTTATAATCAAATTAATTGTTATTACTTGGATGACAGTTAAATCCACCCATTACTTAATTATCCATATAAATAAAATTAATAATTTATTTAATAATAAATATTAAAAATATAATAGAATAATTAATAATATATGAAAATTAAATAAAAAATTTGTAATTATATTAATATAAATATTTGTCATAATTATTATAAGAAAAAAAATATTTTTAAATGGTACTATACTTTTTATATATTTGAGTTGTGATTTTATTAACAATACATAAGAGATATTAATTAATGAATATAATTTAAATTAAATATATTTTTAATTAAAATATTCATCTTAATTTTTACTTTTAACTTGTTTTTTTAAATTTGTGTATAACCTATCAAAATTAGGGCTGGACAGGATTGCCTGTACAAACTCAAAACCGTGGGCCAGTGCGGGCCCATCCCCAAATTCACGTTGCCTTTCGTGTATGTCAGGAAACCGCATAAGGTTGTCTAGTTAACCAGCAACTGTTCAAAGATGACCTCGTAACATTTCATTTCTTCTCACAGGGCTTGTCCCTATCTTCCGAGTACCTTCATCTCTGTTTCACGAAGACTATAGTATGCAGAGAAATGGTCTTAATTTGTTTTCAATTAATATCATTGTTGATGTAAGCCATGAATGAATGATGTAGGAACCATCACCGAAATCAGTGGTTGATATTGTTGGAATATGAAGACTCAGTGATTGACGGTGTTAAAGTCAAGTCTTATGGTTGTGTTAGTAATAAGCACTCTCGTCCCATGCAAAATATGGGGCTATAAATAGCTAGAGGTTATGGAAGAGTGAAATATACAAAAGTTTTTGTGTTAAGAATTGGTTTAACACATTGATATTCATATGTTTCTTAAAAGCAAAACACCAATGTCTGCCATATTGGTGCTTCTTCTTGTATGTGGAATATCATCTTCCATTACAGGTCCATACTTTTCCTCCTTTATGTTACACTGCTACCTATCCATCAGAATTTTCTTCTGTTCATATTTTATATACAATGTACTGTTTTATTTGTTTATTTAAAATTATTTTTATCTTTGATTCATTACTTAATAAATATATTTACGGGTAAAGATGATAATCTGATTAAGTCTATTTAAAAAATATGGAACATAATGATAATTTAAACCTTTTTATAATTAAAAATATTATATATTAAAATAAACATAAATATAATTATAATTAAAAATATTATATTTTTTTATTTTGTTGAAATATATAATTATATTATAATATTATAATTTGAATTATAAATATTAACCAATTAAATTCAAATGATTGATTATAATTATATATTTTAACACATATATAATTTTTTTAATTTATCTAATACAAATATTAATTAATAAATAAAAATATAAAAGTTATTCAGTATTTTTTTAAAATATATAGAATATTTTTATATAAAAAAAATTTGTAGACTGGCTCGCTAGAATATGTCCTTTGGTAGAATAGATTAAGATTTATAACCTAACTATGACATATTATTCATTATTTTCTATCCTGTTTTAATGGACTAGAATCGAAACAAGAAAAACAGAGCAACTTATCAATTTTATCATCTATCTACGAGTTTAGAATACAATTATATATTTATACTTATTTACTTTCATATATATATATATATATATATATATATATATGAGACATTTTTAGTTTTATTATTTATTTTTTGTAATATAATGATTTTTAATAATAATTATCTTATTATTAGATAAAAATAAATAAATATTAAATGTAAAAAAATTAATGATGTTATTTTTTTAATAATTTAAAATAATAATTTATCTTATTTATTAGATAAAAAATAAATAATAAAAGCAAAAATTAATTCTTTTATAGTTACTTTCACGCCTTAACGTGAAAAGTTCATAAATATTAAAATGTAGGATAATTGACTCTACCTATCTGCTTTTAATTAAAAGCAATGTTACACGATACAATACGTAAAACATTCTTTATAAAAAAAATTGCTATTTTTTTTAAATTAATAAAATAAAACTAATTAAATTAATAAAACTATGTTAATTTATGATTATTGAATAAAATTAACGAAAAATATATGTTGACAATCAACTTTTGTAAATATAACAATTAGATAACCGAGTCTAATAATTGTATCTACAAAATCGGTTATATATATAGATATAAATTTATGGCATAGCACATTATTGGCTAGTAGACTAACAAATATATATAAACTTCCAATATATTCAAATTAAATTCATATAAAAAGTGAACGTTTTTACAAATTGAAAACCATTTACTTTTTAATAAAATGTATCTTTAGCTTTAACTAAGGCCGGATCAAAACACATGAAAGTAATCTTAATTACGAATCAACATTATTATTTGTTGGGATTAATTAGGTCATCAATGAATATATATCATGTTTTTGTAATTGAATTAAAATAGTTGGTTGAATCGTGTAGAGGTTAGCTGCATGTATATAAATAGAGGTTAGCTGCAAAAGGGTAAATAGTAGAAAGGTGTTTGTTTCATATTTTGGTATTATACGTACATTCATATTTCTTACAAACAGCAATACAAATGACTTTCATATTGGTGCTTGCTGGAATATTTTTGTCCATTTCAGGTCCATAATTTTTCCTTTTCCCTTTTTACTCCCTTTCCTTTTAGTCCTTATCTTATACAATAACCTAAATATGAATTACATATGTTGTTATAATCTTATATAGGATGTATAAGAATACCAGTTCGAAATTTACATTATCTAAAAATGAGAAGTTTTGATGATTAATTTATGTTATATTTGTAAAAATATTTAAGTTATTTAATATAGAAAAATATTTATGAACATCCAATATTTCTTAAAAATCTAATAAATAATATTTTATTTATTTATTTATGGAAAGAGAATGGAATAAAATACATAAACATGTTTATATTTTGTGGGAATGACTTATCTATTGGTTGAATTGAATATCATCATGTAGCTGCGGAATCCGTAGGAGTTTGCTACGGAGTACTTGGTGATCCTCTGCCGTCAAAGCAAGAAGTTGTGGATTTATATAAAAGCAATGGCATAGGCAAAATGCGTATATACTCCCCTGAAAAAGAAACCCTGGAAGCTCTTAGAGGTTCAGGCATTGAGTTGACCATGGACGTGGCTAAGGATACCCTTCAATCTCTCACAGACTCCGATGCTGCCAACAATTGGGTGAATACGAACGTGATACCCTATGCACAAGACGTCAATTTCAAGTACATCACTGTAGGAAACGAGATTCGTCCAAGTTACACCGAGGCTCAATACATTTTGCCTGCCATCACCAATATTCAGAATGCAATTTCATCAGCCAATTTGCCAATCAAGGTGTCTACAGCAATAGACTCCACTTTGATCGGTAACGCCTACCCACCTAACGATGGCGTTTTCACCAGCGAGGCAGAGCCATATATAAAGCCCATCATCGACTTACTCAAGCGCAATGGGGCACCACTTCTTGCCAATGTGTACCCTTACTTTGCTTATGTTGGTGATCAACAAAACATTCCTCTCTCCTATGCTCTTTTCACCCAACAAGGAGAAAACAGTGTTGGGTACCAGAACTTGTTTGATGCAATGCTTGATGCAACATACTCTGCTCTTGAGAAAGTGGGAGCATCTGATATGCAGATCGTGGTTTCTGAGAGTGGGTGGCCATCTGAAGGTGGAGTTGGAGCCTCCACTGATAACGCAGCCACTTACTACGCTAATTTGATTTCTCATGTCTCTGGTGGGAGTGGAACTCCCAAGAAACCTGGTCAGTCTATACCGACTTACTTGTTTGCCATGTTTGACGAAAACAAAAAGGATGGTGATGACTCTGAACGACATTTTGGTCTCTTCACTCCTGATAAATCCCCCAAATACCAACTCAGTTTCAGTTAGTTGAAATTCATATACAAGCTTAAATTTACATGTTCATGTTGTTGTTTACTTTCAATAATGGTGCCAGGTGTGCCCATCTATTAAGAGCTTATTTGTACCCTAAATAATTACAAATCTGAAACATATAGTTTTGTTTAAATAATAATACACACCAACTTTAGCTTGGTTTACTGTTCAAATGATATTATGTTGATGAAGGTTTAAGAAAAAAAATTGAGTTGTGTAGATATCAAAAATTATTGTTAAAAGTAACAAAATGGATTAATCTATTATAATCTCTTTATCTTTAATCGGTTTATGATGAATGAATTTTATCCTAATCATTTCGTTAAATGACTTATTATATATATTTATAAATATTTTTTAAGTCATTATTTATTAACTAATATCTTGAAATAATTATTATTTTTATATATTAAATTGCTTAATTATAATGAAAAATTAAAAAATAATTTATAAATATATAATTGAAGTATTATTATTATTATTTTTCATATAAATAAAAAGAATTGCAATTCTTTAACTTACATATTTTCTTAACCCATGAAATAAGTTAAGCATAATTATAAGGAAAAAAATTGACAATTCATCTGTAATTTAACGATATACCCTCAGCCCCACTTATTTTACCATCCTATCCCCTTATTTGAAAAAAACTTCTTTAACCCTCTTAATAAGTCTCATATATATTCAATGTGGGTCTTCTGTGGGGAGGTCTATGCAACTATTTAAAAGGAATAATAGTACCACTTTGGAAGAGGTCAGAACTCATAATACACAGTCTCATACTTCATTATCATCAGTTTAATTTAATGTATATATATTAACAAATCAAATGTATGTACTAATTAATGGTGACTGAAAAAAATGAACTATTGTATGAAAAATATAGTCCTATGGTGGGTCCTTCCTTGGCAATAACTTTTAATATCAAACCTACTTTTATTCATAACCCCCTTTGTAAACCCGTACATGCATTTTAGTTAGAAGGAATTAAGAGACAAAAGTTGACTTAGAGTATTTAAAAAACGTTTTTAAAGAAAAAAATTATAAAATAAATTAAAACTAAGTTTTATCAATGACTAACATTAATTTGTACAAGTTAATTCGTAGAAGTTTATTATTATTATTATTATTATTTTTTAAAAATATTTTTATATAAATGAATTTTAGTTTATAAAAAAGTTTATTTTTTTTATTGAAAGCATTTATAGAAATTTTTTAATTCTTTTTATTTTATATCTTATAATGTTTCTCCTTATCCAGCATTACAGTTTTCCAAAGCTATTCTTATTTCTTTTTTTTTCTTCTGTTTTTTCTTTTTCTTTAACCAATTGGTTAAAGAAGAAATTCAACAAATTTCAACATAATATATTTTTATATTTATACATATTTCAGAGGAGTTAGTATTTTTCAAAACTAGTTGTCTATTATTTAATAACAAAATTTTAATTAAAAGTTTTCTTTATGTCAAATTCTTATAAGTAATTAATCATAATTTTTCTCTTATTTATGTCAACTTATGATATTCTTCAGAAACTCAAGAAATTTATCTCTTCATATTTGTAAAACTCAAGCTTAAACTTTTATATATTTTACTTTCTTGATCTCATATGAAATTTTGTTTTTATTGTTCCCATATGTAATTGGATGATTGTGTTTGGTTATCAATCAACAATTTCATATATCTAGTTACTTTCAAATTTACCTCTTTAATGAAAACTTCAAGCTAAGTTGATTTTCATATCATCACCATAAAAATATATTCTACCGTGTTGACAAAGTAATACTACATTAGTTATTTGATCATAAAAAATTGATGTTAACTAAAATTTGAAAACATAATCTAAAGTGTTTTTTCAATCTCCTTTTGCTCATACCAATTTAAGTCATTCTAAGAATATATTTTTCATTTTGTATTATGTTTCTTCATTTGGAGTATCTTTCAAGTATGTTAGATTTCTCACAGTTGCTTGAAAATGAGAAGTCACCGGTTGTCTCACACTATATAATATTGCATATTTATTTCGGTAATTCCACAATTTCCTGGTACAAAGTCAAATTTACTATATCTTCATTTTCTTTTAACTTAAGAATATTTTAGGTTCAGCAAGAATAATAATTGAATTGTAGTTTCTTATATTGAACATTTTCAAAACATTTTTTTATAAAAATCAAAATGACTAAGCACATCTAAGAGGGGTGAATTGAGTTTGTAAAATCTTTTTAAAATTTAATTAATTAATTAAATCTTTTTATACTTGATTTGAAATGTGTTAAGATTTCAAGAATGTCAAGATAAAGAAGAAAAAGATGAGAACAAGAATTTTATACTAGTTTGATTCCTTTAAATCTATATTCAATTATTCAAGCAACTTTAGCTTGAATTTCTACTAAAACTTTTTAATATCCATATTACAACATAATCTGCAGATATTACGTAACAAAATACTTTAACCAAGATTTAAGAAAAATCACAACACTTAAAAATGCTAACCACACAATTTTAAAGGTGTTTTATGTTGTTCATCTCACAAACATCAAGATACAACAAAGATTTACAAAATGAAAAGATAAGAACGAATTCACCTGAATTTTGAAATACAGAATCCTATAAGCAAACGATTTCACCTTTGAATTTGATTTTCTCAAGATATTTTACAGATTCAAAATGTTGTCTTGATGCCCACTAAAACTTTCTTTTACAATGCTTTGATCGTTTCTTAAGTTGTATTTAATTAATGAAAGTTTTCTTTCTTTTAAAGAGTTAAAATTTGTTACAACTGATTCCAATAATATAATTGATTAAGTACCAACATAATCGATTATTAGTGCGTAATGTCAAAACATGGAATATAGTCACATAATCGATGAAGTAACAATATAATCGATTATTAGTGCATAGTATCAAAACATGAATTTGAGTCATATATAGTGAGGAAGGGGAGATAAAGGTCAATAAATAAGTCCTCATAAGTTTTACGGTTGGGAACTATAAGAATGAGGTTCTTTGTGATGTTGTGTCAATGAAAGTGTCCCATATTCTACTTGGTAGGCCGTTGCAATTTGATAAACAAACCTTTCATGACGGTTATACTAACAAGTTTTCTTTTAACTTTCAAGGGTGCAAGATCACTTTGAAACCCCTTTCCCCTCAAGACGTTAGTAAAGACCAAGAAAAAATGCAAACAGAGAGAAAAGAAGAAAAAGAAAAAAAGAGAAGGGATCAACCTCCAAGGTGAAGGACATCATGATCTCCCACAAGGGGATTAAGAAGGTACTTGTAGCTCATAAACCCCCACTCTTAACATATCCTCCTCTAGGTTCTTCCCCTGCATTTCATGAACAATCTCCAAGTTTGTCTAAGAGACTAGAGTTAATATTGGATGAATTTTAGGATGTTTTTCAAGAACCTCCTAAGGGGCTTCCACCTCTAAGGGGGATCCAATATCAAATATATTTCTTACCTAGTTCATCCATTTCTAACCGGCCAACTTATAGGGATGACTTGCTAAATGAGTTACATGGAGCTTCTATGTTTTCCAAAATTGATTTGAAAAGCGGATATAATCAAATCAATATCAAAGAAGGAGATGAATGGAGAACAATAAAAAAGTGAAAAAAAAAATAGAAGAAAGAAAAGAAACACAAAGGGAATAAAAAGATTTTGAAAATTCATGGACGAATTCTCTCCAAGGCAGGGAGGATGATGGGTCCCCTAGTTATCCCAGAGACTGGAGAGGTCATCCCTTGAAGGATGACTAGGAGTGTGACTAAAAGGAAGACCTCTTCCTCACCCTCCACTTTGAATTTTTTTAGCATTTTTTTCTTAAATTTTAGAGACTCACTTTCACACTTTTTTTGTAGGACCACTTTATGCACCTCCTTTTTAAAGAACACCACCTCTTTTTGGTGGAGAAGAAGACTTGGACATATAGGATGGTTGCATGGGTTGCCCAAAGGTGTAGGACACTCGTTTTTCATGTCATACACCCCTTTTTGAAGAGGAAGAAACTTGGGTTGTGGGATTGGTATGCTTGAGACAACCCAAAAGGAAACACACATCTTTTTTTATGTTCTTCACACCTTTAGAGGTATTTTTGGTGGGTTAGGATGAACTTAACATATTTGGACCATGGGGACTCTAGCCTTTAGGTTTAAGTTAAGTTTATGTCTTCTTTTATAATTCCATCTAGGTTCCTCCCCCAAAAGCCTATAAATAGAAGACTTTCCCTCATGTAATTAGGTTGAACATTTATGACAAGTTTGTGAGGTTTCTTAGAGTGTTTCATCTCTTTGAGTGTCTTATCTTGAACCTTGGTTCAAGTGGCGGCAACCACCACTTATCTAGGGTGACTCATCCCTTAGTGGCGTGCCAACACTCCACCACCATCATACTTCTCTTCTCTTTATCTTTTCTTCTATATTTCTTCACTTCATTTATTTATTCAAGGGGTTGATCCATTTTTCTAGCCCTTGTCTTTATTCTTTTCTTATTTCATTCCATCTCCTCCCTCCAGAATCTTTGGAAATGAACCTTCATATCTAGATAGACAATTATCTTAATTTCTAGTGAGAATTTTTCTTAGGTTTGCTTACTTTATTGCTTAAAATTTTGCACCTTACTTTATTTTACATCAAGTGTTTATGAAGTTCAAACTAGTTATTCAATGGAACACCAACAACTAGAGAAAAAACTTGACAACCTTGCATCCATGGTCAAACAATTGGCACAACATCAACAACAATTCCACACTGTTGCACACACCAACACCTATGCAACAAAATTTTCCATTTGTTAGGTTTGTGTGTGGTCTTTGCACTTCAACTCAGCATGCCACTCATGAATGTTCCTAAATTTCAAGCATGTCTATTGAGGATCCATGCTGTTTTCCAAAAATTTCCCTCTAATTCTAATGTTGATTTTAGCATAAACAGATACAATCCTTCTTGGAGGAACCATCCCAATCTCAAATGAGGAGATCAAGCTAATGTTATGC